TGCAAAATTTCTAATTTGAAGCCTTTGTGATGAAGCATTTGTGATAATTCTGACAGGAAGTATCTGCGAACCTGTCCTATCGGTGAAAAAGGGGTGACTGGTGTGTATGATTTCCACGAGGATTTTTATTTTAGAAAATAAATGACTTCTAGAATTTCAGAAGTATGGGAGGTTACAGAAATCCTCTGCAGGGCTTGGCACATGACGTACGGGGTGTGGTGGTCTTTCCCTCTTCCTCCTGCTGAGCACTAACCTAGCATCCCCAGATCCACCAGGTACTAAGAGGGTAAGACAGCCCCAGCTCAGACTCCATACCTTATTTGATAAAATCAGGAGCTACCACATAACATTTGGGCTAGGCTGACTTGAGAAAATTTATACAACTAAAACGACTTTCTTTCCAACAATTCAGATTGCTGTTTCTCTCGTAATTTTAAAGGGGAAGCTGGAAATGGGGACAAAATCATCTCACTACTGACAATGAAAATGTCCCAGATGTTCCTAGGCTCTATGAACAACCAGTCTCAGGTGCTACAAACTGCATCGTCTGGGCAAAGATTAGTACATGAGCACAGCATACAGTTCACACAAAATAGGGTGGTTTAAAAACAGCAGACCCACTCTTTCATACTATCACAGTGTCACCAAGATCTTAAAATGTTTTTAAAATTTAATCTTTTACAGACGGTGTCTCACTGTCACCCAGGCTGGAGAACAGTGGTACAGCGATCATGGTTCGCTGCAGCCTCGGCCTCCCAGAGCACTGGGATCACAGGCGTGAGCCACTGGGCCCGGCCTAACACTAGTAACTGAAGGCGTATCACTTCTCTATTACTGAGCCATTTTCCACAGAGTGGCAGCAACATGAGAGAGAATCATGGCCCTACTGAGCGTGCCTGCTCACTGTTCCTGACACGTTCTACTCGTGTGACTACTTAGACAGAGAGACAGACAGACAGACAGACACACTCTGGAAAACACCACAAGTCTGCCTCTCCCAGCAGACAGTGCTGGGTCTCAGAATCTCCTGGAAAGATGGAGATTTTGGAAGGATATGTTATCTTTGCTTCTCAGGAACTGCTGAATCTACATAGCTTCAAAATAAGAACTGCATTTCATGGAAGGAAAAATGCTGTTTTCGTGACAGATATTGCTAAGGGGCCATTCAATATTTTACCAATAGCACCAACTATCTGTGTATATGTATATGTCGGTGTCTGGGGTGGGGGCTGTTTTGACAGGTTTGCATGTAGGTGTCAGAAGAGTTTTTGTGACTATGACTGTATTTCTGTGTGCAGGAGAAGATATTTAGTTAGTGTTCACTTTCAGAACTGAGCACTGGAAAAATCGACAGAAACCAGGTTATTAAGATCGCATTTGGGCCATGAACTGTTTATCTTCTTTTTCTGAAAAGTTGTCGAATGAAGGACTAAAGGCAATGTAAGAGACGAAGGGTCCTCTGCCATTGCATGGACCAGCCGAACAGCCTCCGAGCTAACCTGTTCCCGATCCCCATTCTAATACCCGCTTGAGCTCCCACTTGGCATGTGACAGGTGAGACAGGCTTCTGTTAGTCTGATGGATTTGGTTTGCAGATATCACAGGTTTGCACATAATATATAATTATTCTATGCAGAAAACACCGTAAAATGGAATGCAGAATAGTTTAGAGAATTTAGTGCCATTATTTTATTCACCCACACAAAACATAAGGAACCTATTCTCTTTCTTGACAGATGGATTTCAGAGGAGACGTTTCAGCTGAGAACAATAATTGTGGCCACAGCATAACTCTCACACTTTGTGGGGTTTAATGGACTTTTCTTTCCAGTGCTCAAAAAGCAGCAACTGGCATTTGCTCAAGCCCTGACTGAGGTGTGGAGAATCTGTCAAGTTTTCTCTGCTGCTTACCCTGACCACAATTATACGGTCCATGTGCAGATTAGCTGCAAAGTCATTCCTCCTCCAGGAGTGACAAGATTTCCCCAAATAAAAAAAGGTACCTACTGTATCCTTGAGTGCCCGTCTGCCTTAGAAAGGCAGGGGTAGGGGGAGGATCTAAGGAGTGTGAAGAGAAATGCCTTCAAAAGAAGGGCATAACAACGGAAAAAGTAGCTGTAACAGAGTGGGGACATGGCAAGAACAGAGAGCAGCATTGTCACGGGCGGAGTAATCCTGTGACACACTGCTGTCACTCACTGCCTGGCTCCCTGCCGCGCCAGCCAGACATCAAAGGCTGCCCCATACCATCTTACATGCTCTTTATCAGCTAATCAGCCCATTCTTCCCTAAATAAAGCCCTGTTAAATCCCCTGCTCACAGGGGTATCCTGGTCTTGGTGCCCATCTGCTAGCGAGGGTCAGCTGGGGCAGGAGGCGGCGGGCTGCTCTCTCCCTAGCGGCTTCTCAAGGTAAGGACAATGCTGCCTCCAGCTCCCCCGCCCACAGGCCTCCCTCTCTGCTTTCCAGGATCTGGGTAGGAGCTGAGCACTCTGGTCTGAGGAACTGCTATCTGGATTAACACTTGCTAATGAAATCTTCAGTCATAAAGGAAGATCATCTGCTAACTATGAAATCTTGGGATTGCATTTATTTTCAGGGAGAAGAATAAACAAAGATGTGTGTTTCTTCCTAGCCCCCCCCCGAGATGGAGTCTTACTCTGTTGCTCAGGCTGGAATACAGTGGTGTGATCTTGGCTCATTGCAACTTCTGCCGCCCAGGTTCAAGCAATTCTCCTGCCTCAGTCTCCTGAATAGTTGGGATTACAGGGGCCTGCCACCGTGCCCGGCTAATTTTTCTAGTTTTAGTACAGACAGGGTTTCATCATCTTGGCCAGGCTGGTCTTGAACTCCTGACCATGTGATCCACCCATCTTGGCCTCCCAAAGTGTTGGGATTACAGGCGTGAGCCACCATGCCCAGCCAGATGTGTGTTTCTTAACAGTAATCATTTGGCAGGTCTCTTCCTCCACTCTCAAAGTGTCACCGTTTCCGAGATAGTGACAAGATGGTCAGGCTTCTGATGATGAGGCTACTCTCAGTCACTAGCTGGGAAGCCTCATGGTTTCATCCCACACTCAAATCAAAGTTAATATACACGGGTACCAGGGACAGCAGAACCTAAAACAGGAACCCAGTTCCTGGGCCCTGCAGCCTAGAATCCTGGCACAGCCACGAGCACGTGGGAGCAGAGCTGAGGCATCTTCGCCTTCTGGGAGGACAGCCTGGCTATGGCAGAAGGCAAGCAGAGACCTCTCTGGGCTGCAGCCCTGATCTGCACCCCCAAACCTCAAAATGGACTAGAAGGAACCAGAGAAGGACACGTCCACTCTCATCTAGGCACTGAAGTACACCAGCACATGGAAATAGCTTCTGTTTGTTTTTCCTCAAAGAATTACTAGAGTATTGTCCTATGTGAGAATTATTAGTATCAGAAAAGAAGCATCTTAAAAATTCCAAAATTGGGAACAGAATTAGGCAATTCTTTGTCCATTCCAATGAGCACTGCAGGTGCCAAGGCTCCCAGAGAAGTCAAGTTGGATTATCTCCGAATCTGCTTTTCAGCTTGTAAGGAGCTTCATCTGTAGAGCCCTGTATGGTTCAAAAGACATATTCCCATGTCACCTAATCTTTTTTTTTTTTTGGTAGAAACGGGATCTTGCTATGTTGCCCAGGCTAGTCTTGAACTCCTGGCCTCAAGCAATCGGCCTGCCTGGGTCTCCCACAGTGCTGGGATCATAGAAATCACCTGATTTTGATTCTCAAAACAATCCTGTGAAGTAACTAAAAATATGGATTTCCTTCTCTGTAGTGTAGTTGAGATCAAGGCTCTGAGACATTAAGAAAAGGTACGGCCCAAAACTCGCATCAGAATGGAGCTGAACTTCGATCCAGGTTCCCTGACTCCAAGACCAGTGGTCATTTCCCTCCACGGGGTGGTCCCTCTGTCTTTGCTGTGGCAGTTAGAGAAACAGGGCTCTGACAAGGTTGATGGAACAACTGACGCTTCCTGGTGAACAGGGAAGTTGGAGATTGTGTGGGAACAGGCAGTGCACAGTGATCCTGTCTGCAGATTCCCAGAGTCAGTGGGGGGAGCCTGCGGCGTTTGTAAATTAATGTGGAAAAGGGAGGATAAACAATGCAAACTACCCGTCCAGAATGTTCCGGGATTGAAGCTGGAAACCAGGGCAGGTGGGAGAAGTCTCCGTGCTCCAAACATTTGTTTGACAGACAGTTCCCATATAAACAATGAGATCATCCGCCCCAAAGTTCTGACATGAATAGCTCACAGGGCCTCAAGCGCACTGGCTCCCGTGAGGGGCTGAGGCTGGTACTAAAAGGACACAGGTCTTGGAGAAGAGGAAGAAGGCCTTTTACAAATGCAGTGTGCTGAGGGAAACCATCTCAGCACTGTGAAGACAGACTTGGAGCCCAGCCGTGAACAGGGCAACACCCCTCCCTCCCCTTCCTTTCCCCAGAACCTCTGGACAGTCCTGAACACACTCGTTTTGGGAGGCAAGGGGAAGGGCTCAGCACTGGAGGTGCAACTCAGCAGCAGTGAGCCATGCGCTGACCCCAAAGCCAGCCTGTTAGAGAGCTAGTTGCTGGAATCGGAGGCTCGGTCACTCAGCACCCAGCCCTTCCATCTCACTGGGACACGGTATGCCACCAGGGCTCATCACACAGAACACACCAGAGTGTGTCATACACATCTCAGATGCTTTCCAGGGTGGACCGCAGCACAACCGAAGCCCCGACTACAAGAAGTCCCCACCACATTTGGGCCCAAAAGGAGGCACCCCTGAATTTCGGCAAGATGAGGTGATTTTCTCCTTGTTCCAAGTGCTTATTGCATTGGGAGAAGGGCAGATGTTAATGAGAGGAGAGCTGAGGCGAGCGGGGCACCCAGCACATCATCTCACCAGTACTCATGTGAACGGAGTTCTCTAGCCCCGGCTGCTATGCAGCCATTCGGCACGGGACACATTCAGCCCATCTTACCTTTTCAGGTTTGCTTTCCTTTTTTTTCTGGTCAAGGCACTAAGATTCCTGGGGGCATCTCTTAGCCCGAAGCTCTTCGCCACATGCCCAAGGTGGAGGGATCGGACATGGAAGATGTGCTTCAGCTCCCTGGGGTAGGTGGTGTAGGCTCGGATGAAGGACTGCAGAGCTGAAAGAAAAGGGAGCGGGGAGGGAGCCTGTTAGGACCAGGGTCTCCAAGCTCCAAAGCACCTGGCCTAATGGTTATCTTCTGGCAACGAAACATGAGCAGGACAATGACAACATATATAAATGACTAAAATGCAGACTACTGTGTATTTCTTCAATCCCTCAACAACAACAAAAAGGAAAAACCTACAGGGGGCCACCATTATTACTTGAATATGCCGGATAAAATTTCCGATTTTGCCACAGAGCATCTAACAATCCAATAGGGTGGGGCCCGGCACAGCCCCTGGTGGCCGGCAGGCACTTGGTAGGCATTTGTTGTGTAAAGGAGTGAAAAGACAGAAGGGTGAAGACATGATTAACACAGGACACCGCATTCTCATGAAAACGAGGAAATCATTAGACATGTACAGTAACACATTTTTCCTAACTAAATTGTACTTATTTGTGAATAGTTAACGTATGCTAGTGTTACAAAATTCACAAAGTTCAAAAGGCTTTCTTACGACTGTCATGTTTACTATGAATGAAGGACATTACCACCAATGCCCCCTTCACCGCAAGCCCCACCTCCAGCTCCCCTATCCATAGGCAATCCCTAATAACAATTTCTTGTGTACTCACAGACTTTTTCAGTTTAAATTTAAAAGTTTTTAAAGAGACGGGGTCTCACTATGTTGTCCAGACTGGAGTGCAGTGACTTACTATAGCCTCAAACTCCTGTTCAAGTAAGTAATCCTCATGCCTCAGCCTCCTGAGTAACTGGGACTACAGGCTAATTTTTAAATTTTTGTTTTTGTAGAGACAGGGTTTTACTCTGTTACCCAGGCTGGTCTTGAACTCCTGGCCACAAGTGGTCCTCCTGCCTCGGCCTCTCAAAGTGCCTGGGATTACAAGTGTGAGCCACCTCACCCAGCCTTCCTCATAGGATTTTAAAACCAAATTCATTCTAAAAGTATCCAGGATTAACCAATAGAGTGCTTCTTACTCATTCAATACAATGCTTACTTACTGTAAAAAAGGAAATGAAAAAAATTTTTAAAGGAGAAAGAAAATTACTAAGTCTCTAAACTGGTCCCTTGAGGACTGACAAAATTTAGGTTAATTCATCAAACATTCCATCAGGACAGTTTCAGTCCTGTTTTAAAATTAAGAAAAGCGGCCAGGCACAGTGGCTCACATCTGTAATCCCAGCACTTTGGGAGGCCAAGGCGGGCAGATCACCCGAGATCAGGAGTTTGACACCAGTCTGGCCAACATGGTGAAACCCCATCTCTACTTATAAATGCAAAAATTAGCTGAGCGTGTTGACGGGCACCTGTAATTCCAGCTACTCGGGAGGCTGAGGCAGGAGAATCACTTGAACCTGGGAGGCTGAGGTTGCAGTGAGTTGAGATTATGTCACTGCACTCCAGCCTGGGCGACAAGAGTGAAACTCTGTCTCAAAAAAAATTAAATTAAGAAAATTGGGTCCTTGTTCTAGGTCCCAGCCCCACCAGAAAAGGGCCAGACTCACTCCCAGGAGGGTGAAACTATGGTCTCCTGAACTAGGCACTCCCTAGAGGAAGGATTTTCACGGACTGGGTTCCCCTTTGAATATGTAGAAATAACAATGAAAACTCGAGTATCCACCTGCTTCTCACTCCAGCAAGGAAGGAGGGTGATGTCCTGCAAAGCTCTCCCCGCCATCCCTGTCACTGCTCTCTCCACTTCCAACCCTGCTCTTCTGCCAGCCAAGCCAGAGCCCAGCCCACTGTCTGATGGAGGCAAGCCTTTGCTTCCTCACCCTCCTTGTTGAGCCACTGGACTGGCAAGTTTGCCCACAGCTTAAACATAATATCCCAGCAGCACCTGGAGATCGGCGTTTATGAACAGTAATAAAAAGTGTCATTTTAGCAGATCAGCTCCTGGAAGGATCCTGGGGAATCCATCAAAGCTCTATTTACTGAGCAAAGTGAACTCCTTTTCCCAATCGATGAGCAATAATAACCAAGGCAAGTCCTCTGTACCCCACTCTTAAATCTGTGCTTACTCCCCTTTTTAATAACCAGGGACTTTTTCAAGGAAAATCTTTAACATTTCAAATGGTCTGTACTATTTGGAGGGTTCTGATACCACCAGACACAGAGACCCAGAGCCAAGCCCTGAGAAGGAAGGCTCTACTGCTGCGTGATCCAGGAGATTCCAGCCTCTACTCCTCAACCCCCAACACTTACTCTGGTCTAAAAAAACTAGACTGAAACCAAGCCATGCCAAAGCCAAACCAAGAGACTGCATTTTCAAAACCTCAGTCACCCAAACCCCAGTCTGGGTCTCTTCATTCCCGACCTCTCTTCTGTGTAAGCAGATGAGTCCCTGGGCTTCCACCCTGGTCACCTCTCTTCCTCTCCTCTCCACCAATCCTAGGAGCTGAGTGCTGAGAGTGTCTGCCCCAGGAGAGGTAGGTGCCCAGCTAACAGCTTTACAGGGATAATGAGTTTGCCAAGATGTGGCAGGAAGTGTTTTCTCCCCAGACAACTGGCCAGGCAGCATTTCACACTGCATATTTTTACTAAACCTCCTTGTCCTCAAGGCTCCCGTCTCACCGGGGACAGCGACAGTTGGTTGTCCTCACATACTTGCATGGACTCCTATGTTTGGATAATTCAGAGAAACAGGAATTTCTGATGCTGCAGCAGCTGTCTGCAGGACCTTTCAAGGAGCAGGAAGCGGCTCCTGTCGGCAGTGTCTAGAATGTGCAGAAGGAACAGGGGCTATGGGACCCACACAAGCGGAAAGTGGAGAAGTAATGAAAGTCGACATTTATTTGGGGTGACGGATAAAGCTGCAGGCCACTAGAGTTCAGTACTTTATAGTCACTGATTCCCCTTTCTTGCCAACCACTTAAGGTGCCGGAATTAGGAGAAATCTGTTTTAAAGTATCTCACACGGACACATCATCGTTTCTCATTCCTGGACATCTGGATCAGAAACTAGTGGTATCTTATCATGACTCGTAAGATGAAGGAGGGAGAAAGAAACAAAACTCTAGCCTGGAAGGTGAAGATCATCCCCGCTCCTCCCAACCACAGCCCCCACTCCCACAAGAGCACCTTTCAGTACAAAATAAAGGCACATGCATCGTCCCACCCAACACCAACAGCCACAGCTACAGAAAGGATGGAAGAAAGGAGGTTCCCTGTTACTCTCTTAAAGACAAAGCATTTGGTAACGTGCCCAGCCTAGCTCTGACCCCACTGATGGGAGAAGAATGACTTGTGATCACTGCTAAGGGTTTTCTAGACTTGGAGACGCATCCCTTCCAAGCAGGCATAAATCCTACACGTGGAGTTCCTGCTCTGCAGGAGACCTGAAGATGGAGAGGATGAAGCCCCAGGAGCAGTGGTCACTTGCAGGTGGAGGACTCTAGCTTCCACATTTTTTGTTCAGGAGTCTGGAATTCCAACTTACTTTACCACTCTTTTTACAACTTGAATCCCTAGCTAAAAGATGCACGAACTCAGGAAAAAAGGGGTAACTGCATCTGGAAACTGACAATTTAATGCCGGTTATTAACAATGACTGGGTCAGAAAATGCGAAAGGAAAACAAATACATACTTGGCTCAGTTTCTATCTAGTTTTCGGCCGTCAAGGCAAAAGCCAGCTGCTTTGTTAATTATTCATGAGGTGGGTTCTGAAATGGCATAAAAGGGAAGCAAGTCAATCGAGGGGAATTTGCATATGCAGATCGACATGCAAAAGATAGTCTCCACCTATGGGGTGCAGTGGCTGTTCCTATGTTGTGAATTCAATACCTTTAGGGTGGCATATATGCGTATACTCTCTCAAGCCTCCAAAACTCAGGAGAGAAGGAATGGTGGCGAGACTTATGTCTGAAATGGGTTGTCTGAGCTCTGTAAGAGGCAGTATTGTCCCAGCTTATTATCAATCTGGTGTGGAAATCGATTAGCAAGTAAGAGACATGATACATTTATTTCCTTCATGGTACATAAACATTGGGAAGAGACCCTGTTCCAATATTCCTTAGACAACAGACAAGTGACTCTGCTTGATTCTTGGTATTAACAAGTTCAGAAGTAATGATGGTGACAGAAAACCCAAAACCACATTCTCTAAGAATTACTAACTGTAACTTCTGCTCCAATGACTCGGACACCTTGAAATAGTTGTAGTCTTGCCAAAATATCTGAGGCATCACTGACACCAAAATTGAAGGTGACAGTGTGGGTTTGATTTATTTCTTCCCATTGCAACTTTGATACCAGCCCTGAAATTCAGCAGCACAACACCTTGTTATGTACTGCACAGCCAGCTGAACTTGCCTAACTTTCAACAAAGGTCTAAACTCTGTAAAGTTATACTGTGACAAAGACCCTACTCCTCTTGAGAGACATAGAACAATACTCCTCTAGAGGCAGCAAGGAAGGAAAACCCTTGGGATTGCTGAATTCACTTAGGGGAAATGCTAAGACAGGACATTATTAGAGAAAAGTCTAGAAGGTTATACAGTATATACAGTGGCAGTTACTGAGACTTCATCTTTTACCTTGTGTGGTTCTGATTTTTTATGATGACAACCAACAATCACAATTATAATGTGCTAAAGGTATGTAATAGGTCCTTGAAAGTATTTGCTGACTAACTCATTTTTAACATCTATTTCCTGGTGACCACAATCGCTCCTCAACCAGTCTCCCAGCTTTCACCCAGCTAGAGTCTATTCTGGCACAGCAGCCAGGTGATCCCTTTCAAACCCAGGTCAGATCACACCACATTTCTGCTCCCGCTTCATTCCGACAAAGACGCAAAGTCCTACGTGATTCTGCCTTGGCCAGCACCCCCTTTCCATCCACACTGCCCTCCTCGGGCTCTTCTGCACCAGCTGTTCCTTTAGACAGCCATGGGGCCCATCCTACGTTAGACTTTTGCTCAAGTATCACCTACACAATGAGGCTCACTCTGACCCCATTAAATATGCCCTCTGCTATGTCACCCTTTCCCCTTCCCCATCTCCTTCTACCTATTCCATAGCTCTCGTCACCTTTAAACAGACTAATTTATTATGTTTATTATGCTCACTGTCTGCTGCCCCTGCACCCCACTGACATGTTGGCTTCACAAAGGCAAGGATTTTTGTTTTGCTTTCGCATGTATTCTAAGCACTCAGAATGGTGCCCAATTTGATAAATATCTGTCAAATGATTTTCAAAATATTTCTATCTACATATAAAATAAGGATGCTACAGTGTTCCAATACTGGTAAGCCAGCCTGGCACTCTTCACAAAATAGCAGGTAACTAACAACAACAAAAACCTGTGCGTCCTCCGGCATGGAGTAAGTCTCACTGGACATGGGTCAGCCTCTGGCCAGGACATCCCATGACAAAAAGCAGCAGTGATTCTAAACCCCCTCTGGCCATACACTGCTAATTACTCAAAGTGAACTGCTAAGTCCACATCTAATGTACGGTGATCCCAGGAGCCAATTTATCCTACAAAAGGTCTATATTAAATCAATACTAAACTCTTTTATACATTTCCTGGAAATTGGGTTCATGGTCTGTGGCTCTTCCTCGGTACTGTTCTTTCTCATTTTATTTTGTGCCTTCAAATAGGAACCACTTAGGTCTAATATTTCCAGCTCTGGCCTTCATCTCCAATTTCCATCTCTACAAGTATTTCTACGAACGTGTCACATCTCTTCTATCTGGTTTCCAAAGAAAGAGAAAGATCAGATCCCTAAGATCAAAGCTGTTGGGTCAAAACTCTAGTCGTGATATAAGCCAAGATAAAGCCTCATTTGTGCAAAACATAGGGAATGACGAAATTAACATTCAATATCACTTTAAAGCCTTCCGTGCCTGCTTCCAAACCCTGCAGAATTATGGAGATTGAAGGCTTTGGCTGGTGAGCAGAGATCCCCAGGTGGGTCTCTCAACTGGTGTGGGGGTATGTGGGTGAAGGTAGAGGACAGCACTCTGCTGGGCTATCCACTCCACAAACACCTAGGAAATCGACTGACCTTTCTTTGCCCAGGAGACCCTCCTCTCGCTGGAGTGCACGTAATCTTCAAATACTGTCTGCAAGACTGTGGCTCGCTCTCGGATTTCCTGGGGGCCAACAGCATGGGATTTCTGAAAGGGTGACGGAAGGATTAAAGGAGAGACAGAGTCAAAGTCAGGAATAATGAAGCAGTTTATAATAGATTTAATAACAGTAAAATCACACAGTAACCAGCTAGGGGCCAAAAAGGGTAATCCTTTCAATATTACTAGGGAAAAAAAGGAGCTGTAGAGATGTTAAAGTCAAGTAAAGACGAGGATGGCTTTATGAGCGAGATCAGGTCTATTTACTTATTTACTTCCTTTTCTTCCTGACCTCTTACCATGCATGTTCAAAATCAAAGACCACTGGAGACATTATGGAATTTTCCAAGTCCAATTCAGACATGTTAAACATCACTGAACACGAGCTGTTTTCAAATGGATCTTGGATCTCCTACAAATCTTCACCTTTCCCTTGTGCGCATCAGTGGAACACTGACCATTTCTCTTCATGAGCACTCCACGGTGACCTGCCTAAAATTCTGCCTTAAAAAGTTACCCCTATCCAGGAATTTCAGAGCATGCTTCCTCAGTGCCTAGACCGGTTCAGACTTCTAGTGTTTCAGATTCATTCCTCCAGCCCACGGCCACTGTGCTGAGTTCCCAGGAACCTATTAAAGAGTGAGTGGGCTGTTCCAGGGAACCATGTTCAAAGACTGCCTGGATCTTTGCAGCAAATCGTTCCTGTGTAAGAAGTTATATCTGTGTGCATGCAAAGACCCTACAGGTGGAAAATGTTAATAAAATACACAATTATTTTCTTTTCATCTTCAACAGTACCAGAGAAAGAAAATTTCCTTTTAAAACATCCCTGCTAAAAACTAGTGGCTTTTGTCTCCAATATCTTAAAACAAACATGAGTGCTTTCTACTGAATGTGAAATCAGGAGAACACAGATTCTATAACCCAATGAGGCCAACCTGCCAAGTGACACTGATCACTTGTGTGCTACTGGTGCCTTCACCTCCGCCCGCCACCCCAATGTGGGCCCCAGGGGAAAATCCAGAGTGAGACCCAGGTCCTGCTGCTTAACCTTGTAGAGGACGGGGTATGAGCACTTTGCATCTGGCCTAACCAAGACTCCCCGAGCCTCTCTTTCGCCTTTAAGGCTGACAAGAGGAAGAACAAAGAGGAGGAAAGGAAAAGCCTCATTCTCTGGATCGACGTTCATCTCTATATTAAGAGACTTAACAACCTGAAAATGTTTTGAGTTTAGTCAAATCATTCCTGCTACCTGTTTGGTTGATGACAGTCTCGCTGATTTCACAGTACAATACAAGGTCCCCCTAAGGGTTCTATCCGCTAAAATGTCAGGAGAAGAGTCACTCAGGAGCTGTGTTACCAAAGTGGACATTTGCTATTGTCATTAACAAGGATTTTTTTTTCTACCCTCTTAACTGATGTGAAATGCAAACTTTTTTTTTGCTGCCCTCCTTTCGTTAAGCCACCTCAGCAGCGCAACTGTCACCTTCCCTGTGTGTGTTTTTTTTAATATGAATGTGAAATTAGCGAGGATGCCCTTTCCCCTGGCGGACAGAATCCTCTGTTATTAAAAAGTAAAGCACTTTAATAATGAAAACTTTTCCCTCTTTTTCTTGTGTTTTAACTGTTTAAAATTAATGAGAAGGGCAGAATGGTTGTCAAAGAGATATTGAAAGCCGGGCAGCCAGGACCGAATAAGCACAAAAATCCCTCTAGAGTGTTAAATAAACAGAGCTCCAGCCCTCTCCGAATCCCTCTGTTGGTTATTGTATACATTCTGTAACAGCTCTCAGAATAGATCTGAGAGCCAGGGAGGCAGAGAGGTTTCAGAATTCCAATAAAGGCCTCAAATTAAAGACAGCCTGGTGCGAATTCCAGGAGAAAATTAAAGAGACCTCAAGCTTAAGTGACAGGTGACTTGCTTCTGTGTCACAACTGTCAGGGGATTTAGTGATAATATGGCAATATATTACAAAGGGCTTTTCTTATTCCCCCCTTTAGGTTTCAAAATGAGGCATCTTTTCTTCCCAACCAAAAAAAAAAAAAAAAAATTACATATATATAATGTGAGTGTGTATATAAGTGAAATATGTAGGGAGAGAAACACGATAGAACTAGGTTCACAGGTTTGAAATGATGAGGTCAGTTTTAGTAAAATATAAGAAAAAGTTAATGACAGAAAACACAATATACAATACTTAGGAAAAAATATCTTACTCCTCCCTAACCCCCGCTTCCAGAAATACCTTATTTTAAAATTGCCCCTCTTGAGAATGAATGAGGTATTTTTCAGTTGTCTTCTGGGGAGGACAGTCTAAATTTAAACTGAAGACAGAGGGGGCAGAGTTGTGCAGCACCATCTCAGCCCCAGACAGGTAAAATGCGCCTGTAATGAGAGCGGGTCAAACCCCTGAGGGCACACGAATACCCGGCAGGACTGGCTCTCCCACCCTCAAAGACACAGACTCAGTACTGGTTAATGAAGCTAACTGGCAACTAGCGGACCACAGGTAGTTTAGAAAAACACATTTCCAACCACCCGTCCGCACGCAATGCACCTTTGTCTCTAATATCCTACTGATCCTGGAAAAAAACAGACCATCAGAAAGGATGAGCAGGGGGCTCTGAACTTATTTTAAGATCTCGCAATGCCAGCAACAGCTCCTTTGTTAGGATAAATTTACAGGTATATTTCATAGGACAAAAACCCCTATAGGAGAAACATGGTTGGGTGTGTGTTTATTATGATGATGAAGATTTCACACCTACCAAGAAGCAGCAGATGAGTCTAAGATAATTAGGCTGGACCATTTGCATTATAAAAAGTTTTGGTAGTAGGAAAGGTGGGTTTTTGTGAAAGCCTGTGCCTTGATACCGCCAACTTCCAAGGTATTTTTAAGCTAAATGGAAGGGTTTTGTTTTAATCACTTTATTGCCAAGCTGAGTTTTACCGCCACGGTCCCTAGAACCTTCTGAGTGCTTCCCGGTAAAGTTGAAAGATCAAATTTATTCTCTTTGTAGGCAGGTGAACATTCACACACCCAGACATAGCTATATATATTTTATATACCTAAATATGAAATATACATTTTACAGATGCTTCACTCGCTTTCTTTCTGTTCACAGAAGCCCAAAAATGTATGTGCCAAAGGGACATTTACCATGGGTTTCAATTGCGCTGGGTGAAAGAGAGGGGCGCTGTAATGAGGTGTCTGGCTGTGTGTATAAAAGGCCTCGCTACTGAACCCACATTTACATGCCTGGCATTAGTTCACAGGCTAGAGAACTGCTCAAATTGAGGACAGCAATGAAGACACAAGGTATTTCTTATGCACAACAGAATTAAAAGTTGTATCCAGCATCTACTTTATTCTTTTCACTACTGACACGTATCACACACATAAAATATCCTCTCGGGTTGTGTATCTATGTGGTAATTAGTAACATAGTCAATTTATTTTAGTTTTTCTTTTTCCTCTCAATTCAAGTGAAACTTGGCTCAGCAAGCCAAGTCTTTACCAGCAGGACACCCAGAACGAAGGATGGTTAATTTAGCGTTCTAAGTTAGGAAAGTCCAACCTTGCGTAGCACCTTTTTTTCTTTAAAAAAAAAAAAAAATCACCAAACCTTAAAAATATCCAAGCATTCATTACTATCTATCAGGGCAGGAGCTGGGGCGAGATTATAAGATAGAGTTTCCAGACCTAAGAATCTGTAAGGTCTGGAACTAGACAGAGCACTGTCTGCCTCATTTTATTTAAACCTCTCAACAATCATGTGTTTTACAGATGGAAAAACTGAGACTGGGGAGAAGATACTCTGCCTGATGTAGCAGAGCTACCAGCTGTGAAGCAAGGATTCAAACTCAAATTCACGTCTGTCAGCTCTGGGACTTTGCTCTTACTCATGAAGTTATGGCCACTCCTCAAGTCTCAGGAAGTCTTTGAGGCTGGCCTCAAGCCAGGGAAAAGGCTTAAGGAGAAGCATTTATGCTACAAGGTCACAGAAGGGCAGACGTTACCAAAAAAAAAAAAAAAAAAAAAAAAAAAAGACTGTAGCTTGTTGCTGAAAGAGCAGAGGGAGATGCAGCTGCTCCGCTCCTTCTTTGGGGACACGTCCTTCAGGAGAGGCTTCCTGCCCTTCCACACCTTCCCTGCGCTGTGTAGACACACAACGATCAACTCCCCAGAGAGAAATGATCTGTGCTCAGGGATAAAGGCTGACATCAAAGCCAGACCCAGAAAGAGTATACCTGAGACTAGGTTTGATCAAACTCACTATCTCATTTTGTAATTGTACTACTTGCTCTTATTTCTGGAGAGCTGGCAGATGCTAATGTTCCAGTTATTAATGATACAGCAAAAAAGGGCCCTGTGGTTCGTGTCCCTGAGTCTGGGCTTTAATTCCACATCTACTACTAAGTGGAATGACTACAAATAATCATGAAAGTTACAGTAATAATGAAAAATGCCCTTTGGGCTGGGTGTGGTGGCTCACACCTGTAATCCCAGCACTTTAGGAGGCCAAGGTCAGGAGTTTGAGGCCAGCCTGGCCAACATGGCGAAACCTCATGTCTACTAAAAATACTAAAGTTAGCCAGGCATGGTGGTGCGTGACTGTAATCCCAGCTACTTGGGAGGCTGAGGCAGAATTGTGTAAACTCAAGAGGTGGAGGTTGCAGTGAGCCGAGATCACGCCACTGCACTCCAGCCTGGGCGACAGAGTGAGACTACATTTAAAAAAAAAAAATGCCCTTTGGTCCTATGCTTTTTACTTGGGCTCCAGGACTATTTCTCACATAATCCTTTGATGTCCTTAGAAGAACACTATTTTTATCTCAACTTTACACATGAAGAAACTGAGGCTTAGAAAGGTCCAGTCCTTGCCCAAGGTCACATGCTGGTGACAGATAAGGAACAGGACCCTGAGGCTAACCTCTTAGCCACTCTGCTACCCTGCCTCCCCGAAAAGAGACTGAGGCTTAGAAAGGTCCAGTCCCTGCCCAAGGTCACACACTGGTGACAGAAGAGAAACGTGACCCTAAGGCCACGCTCTTAGCCACTCTGCTATGCTGCCTCTTTGAACAGCTCCCATCTGCTCCCTGCCGATCCTACAGAGTGGTCCTGGAGCCATAATGAAGTATCCGGGGAAGCATTAAAAAAGAAACCAAAAGAGTCCCTTAACTAGAATTTACAATAGTTCCAAAAGAACGGAAGTGCGCCAAGACCAGCGAAGATGTGCCTGGTCACTGGTCAACTCCCCCAACAACAAACTATTAATAAAGGGTGGTCCGGAGGGTCCAGAGTCTTGCGTGTCTCATCTGACTTGCTGAAGGTAACCTGACGACCAATGGAGTCTTTAATAGCTCTTATTGTTCACAGGGATCTTTGCTGTGGTACAATTTGTTGATCAAATTTTACCTCTAAAAACGACTAACATTGCCTTATTTCAACAACAATTCAGTTCAACTGTCTTGGTTTAGTTGTACTAACAAAGGCACACTGGTGTACAGTTAAATATGTGTGCTTTGAAGTTCAGAGTTCAAATCCCAGAATGACTAATGAATATTAGTGTGCCCCTGTGAAAGTTCCTTAACCTCTCTAAGTCTCAGTTTCATCTGTAAATTGGGGCCATAGCTACCTTCCTGGATGGCTAGGAAGATTAAATGGGCCCATGCACGGAAAGAGTCTAGCCAAGTCTTGGGTTCAGAACACACACTTTGCTAATAGAGACTCTGGCTATTTCCTCTCCTTGTGTCACATACATTTCCTTAGATGCTCTCTAAAACAAGAGAACTTAAGTCAGGGCCAGTGAAATGGGTCCCTCCCTGCTCAGGGAGAATACTGATCCAAATACAGGCACAGGCTAAAGCATGAGAGAAACTCTTAAGCGTGATCTATATGGCCCTGATTTTCCAGTCGGTCCTCAGGCATACAAAAACAAATGTAAAATATTCAAGTAATTAATAGCCCACAGAAAAAATTACATATAGCAACACTGCACCCACACACGGAATACTGAGTAAGGGGTGGGGTGGGGTGAGGGAATAATGGTCTAGTCAGGGTGCAGCCATAGAGAAGGAGGAGGAAAGGATGTCCAGGGCTGTCTGCACCTGCTCGGAATCTCCATATGGAACTGCACGGATAATAAAAATTTTTCTTCTTAATGATCTCAACTTTACTCTTCCTCTGTGGATAGCACACACACACTAAAAAATGGATAAACTAAGTGTGTCTGAAAGGAGACACAGAGATCCTTATTTCTTCCATGCTGTCTGGGATAGGCAGGTCTAGGCAGCGTCCTTGCTGTTAATCTGGACAGGGACCACCAGGGCTGAGCATGTGACGCTGCCTCCAGACTCATTCTGGCCTGGACTTCCTTTCTGGGGTGGCTGCTGCTGTCTGGCAGGCTTCCAGAATGGACCGTAGCCCACTCACTGGATAAGAGCAGCAAACACATCCAGAAGCAAAGATGAGAAAAAAAACAATCAAGATTTGGCCTCGGGAGGGCCAGTGGGAGGGGGAGGTGGGGAGGGATAGCATGGGGAGAAACGCCAAATGTGGGTGAAGGGGTGAAAGCAAACAGAACACACTGCCATGTGTGTACCTATGCAACTGTATTGCATGCTCTGCACATGTACCCCAAAACCTAAAATGCAATAAAAAAATAAAAAAAAAAAAAAAAAAAAAAAGATTTGGCCTCATCTAATGTTCATGGTTTTTAAATGTTTTACTTGACAGAGGAAATAACTCATACACAAAGTCTCTACTACCCCAAATCAAGAAGTGAGTCACGTCTGTTAGCAGCAAGCACAATAAATAATAAAACTCACCTGGGTTCCCCATCGTTTCCCTTTAAAACAATCATCTCTCGTCAGAACACACAAAATATCTTCCATCTTAATCTCAGAAACGCTGTAAAAGGAAGGGCATAGCAAGGTAAACTTTCTGCTCTTTTGAAAACACCCAAAGACCTTGATGTATAAAACTGACCTATTCTTGAGCTAATTAGACATGAAGTAGAAGTGACACCTTCTAGGAAAGGAAATATTTTCCTAAACCCTTAGGAATTGAGAAGTGGACCTCTATGATATTAAAGGGACAGGATGATATTCCTGACAATTTCTTTCCTCCCTGATGAATTTAAAATAGGCTACATTTAGAATTTCCTTAATAGAGATTGTGTCATTATTTCCTGATAAATCTTGAATACCAAACAAGTGTGCTCGCTCACTGATCAACTCCCTTGGCTTGAGCAGATGGCAATGAAACAGAAAGCATTTTAGTCTTTTTATACCGAAGAGGAAAAAAAACGGAAATAAAAGGGTGGCCAAACATCCTCCACTGTGGGGTAAACACCCTGTGAGGGTAACGAGAGCACAAAGCCTGTCCACAGCAGCACTGCTCCGTCTTCTTCTACCCTGGAGGAGCTTCACTACCCTTGTCTCTTAATTACTGAGGGGTGAAGACCAAGGGATCTCTGATGAACCCAGAGCTGTGTGCCAAGCAATGAAACAAGAACTTGGGCTTCACTCAGGAACAGAAGCCACAAGGAGCCAGAACACAACAGTCAGAGCTGCCTAGTGGTGGAGTCTGGAAAACCTCCGCTTCATCCAATCGACCACAAGTCCACAGCATCTGAATGTAAGAAGCAGAGAGCCTCGCATGTCAGGGATGAAGGAGGAAATGTGCACTGCTGAAAAGAGTTTCCCAGGGAGAAAGAGGAGGAGGAGCTCGGGGCGGGGTGAGGAACAGATCATAAAAAGACAAATGATTTTGTTGTAAGTTCTTTTTATAAATGTAACAGCAAATTAAAACATGAATGGCAACCTCTTAGGTGGGAGAAGACAATTCTCCCCCTTTCCCCCAAAGGTTACTCTGACAAGGCTATGAATGAAAATGTCACGTCTCTGACAGCGATTTACCTGAAATGTGTCATCTCCTCCCTGCACACCCCCAGCCCTCACCCCTCAGCTTCCTCTCTCTGCTGCCAACTCACAGCCCTATGGATGAGTGAAGTCTTTTTACAGCAGCAAGAGTCAAGCAGAGGAGGCAGCGCATGCTCTGAAAGGGCAGCAGTCGGAAGGAGAGTGCCCAGGACTTCATGGGAAATCTATTTTTCACAGGAGAGAGGAATGCATGGATATTGAACTTGCCTCTTATTTATGCCGGAAACCCTGAAAGAAGGTGAAAACATAACCCAGTCCCATCTTTTTCTCTATCTGATTTGCTTCTATTCATCACTTTTTTTCTCAAAAAAAAGAGGAAAAACACAAAAGTAAAAGAAACACCAGACCTTGGAATCAAATCTTGAAGCAGAGAAAGAAAAAAAGAATGATGCCATTTGCAGTCAGGAATACAAAAAGCTAAATATGCCACAGAAAGGCAGTGTTCTCAAATGCATGTGCTGATATTCCAGCCAGAGTGAGGCTCATGGGCTACGTGTCCACATGGCGATGTGGGGGACCATACGCCCCAAGCAAACAGGAGCTGAGAGGGAACTCGAATGATTTACAGTTTAAAAGGGCTTTCTTCCTCTTCCTCAGAAATCGCTGCTTCTGAGGAACAAAGCAAACCTACTATGATTATTTATGGGTCCATTAACACATCTGAATCACCCCACCTTAGTATGAAACGAGACAGGTAAATAAATAAATTCAGGGAACTGTCTTATGCCTGATCTAAGAAATACACGTTCTGATGAAGCATTTACATTTTAATAAACCAATGATGATTTTCATTAGAAACACATTTAAAGGGGAGGCAGAAAAAAGTTAAGTAGTTGACACATACAAAGAAGTCTAATGAACGCAGAAGCAAAAGTTCTGAGCATCTAGACAGAGGTGGCGATGGCCCAGGAACCTGTCTCTTGCCCTGTCTGCTCCATTCAACTGCCTGGGTGAGCACCGCAGTGCTCAGTCTAGGAGGGCAGGCAGCCATTTGTGCTGGCCCTAGCTGCTGGGAGCCTCTGCCTGGCCTTCTCCAACCTGCCCTGCGGCACCTCAGCCCTCCTAACGCCTCGCTGCCTGGCTCTCACGTTCTCAGGCACAAACATGCACACACTTCCTCCTCCTCAGAAAGTATTTCGAAGTGTATCTTTTGGATTCTAAAAATGTTCAAGTCTGCTTCCCAATGCACACTTTGCAACCAGTTAATACTTTTTTCTTTTTTTTGCATTAAGACAAATAAATAGTTCATGTACAGCTATCCAATGTAGAGCATTTCCTCAAACAGAAATTGGGAAGAACAATGCATGACTGCAACATAATAACCCTGATTCTGATGTCTGTTTAAGATGATTACAGCAAGCCCATGAGGCAGGCAGCAGTCCCGGCCCAAGCCCCCCACAAGTGAGTGTTCAGGACAGACACCAGGGAAATGGGACTCATGCAAGGACCCTTCCCTCCTCATGTAAATGTGCTTACACCACCCTGCAGAGTCTCCACCAAAAGACCTACGCTTCCTCCTTTCTGGAGAGACGGTGTTAACACTGAGTTCTCCCCTTTTTAATGTGGGATTAAAAAGAAGGGAGTCATGCAAATGCAGGCACACTATTTTTTTCCAGACAAGATCGTCACAGCGGATGACAGGATTTGTTATGTCTTTAAAATACACTGACTCCCTAACACTTTGTGCCTCTGCTAATCACTGTTTTCCCTTCTCAATTTTAGCTTTACATTTGAGCCCTTCATAGCAATCTACTTGAACATGTTCTTAGAGAAAAATGAAGAGAGCAAAGACAGGGGTACCTCTGCTGTTAACTCTGGCCTTAGACAATTATCACTGGTCTCTGTAACTGCTGTCACTCATTTTTCTTAGGAAGAGGTCATGTCACAGTGAATGAGCATGGGGGAACATCCAGGGAGCTGCAGCCAGGAAGGAATGGGAGAATGGGAACTGGTAGCTCTAGAATGGAAGGAAGAGGAAAAGCAGCGTGGAGTGACTGAGAACGCTGTTAAGGTGTGGTGACTACATTTTCTATTATGGGGCCATAGCACCAAATTCTGAAAGTGCTTTCTGCATGTACACAAATTCCTATGACAGTGGAAAGCAGCCCCAGCAGCACTGTGATGGGCTCCCATGCTCTGAGAACAGGGTCAGGGAAGAAAAGGAAACCAGCTGTGCCAGAGGCTTGTGTTTCAACTTCCCCAGGGTTTCTGCTACACCTGCCTGGTGGGTGTCAGCTTCGAGGCCAAAAGGGCCACAAAGAGAGGCCAGCCAGCCTCCAGCTGAGGGAGCTCAGAACTCAGCAGCGCTGGGTGAAAAGTGACCAACTGATCTATATGAGATTTCTCTCACTAATAAGATACGATATGCACATCTTCCTTAGCAAATAAAAACCACTCTTTTCAAGTGACAGATTTTGTTAAGATAAGGAACACACTGAAGGAAGGAAAATCCAACTATATTTTGGCCCCCGGCATGACTACCAGGCCAGGAATAGTTTCCCACCACCCCCAACACTGCAGGACACACGGCACATTTTCTGAATAAGCCCCAGTCCATAGGTGTTCACACTAACAGCCTTGAAAGGGTTTGGGAAAGCCTTACTAGTATGTGAGGCCAAGTTCTGCAGGTGGGAAGTGGGACAGGGCCTGGTGGGGTCAGCCACACATGGCTCCTGCAAGTGAGGGGGCTGCACACCCAAGAGGCCCCCATACTGCCTGCTAGGGTGTTTCTGTTCCAATGCATAATGCAATGCTTCTTTCCAGTACCGTACTTTAGGGAAGAAAATGGTGTTGTAGTTTTATTTGATGTTTTACATAAAACACAGGGCTGGGCAAGGAAAAAGCAATTAAGACTATCCCATTTAGCGTCAGAGCCACCAGGTCTGGAACCCAGGGCTTTACTCAGGGGTATGAGGTGCTGAACTGTGACACACAAGATGGCAGCTGAACATCCTGACTGTGAATCTAGCGTGGACTTCAACTGCCTCAAAGTCATTTTCCCCCGGATTTATCTTCCTGGGGAAGGGAAATTGTGTGATGAGTAAGAAGCATTATTTTTTTAAAAGACAAATCAACTTTGAAGATACAAATCATTAATTGCAATAAATAAAAGTTGTGAATAAAAAGCGTTTCAGAAGCTGTGAAGATGATGCACACTTACCTTGCAGCAGGAGAAACGAAACACAGCCTCTGAAAGAAAATCAAGTACAACAGACCCTATGACTTAAGTCTGGCAACGCAAGGAAAACTGTCATGTGCTGAGGATATTAAGGGTTTTAGTTTTTGCCACTGGCTATTCTGGGACTCATTTAGGGATCACAAGGGTTAATGGCTCTTCGTCAGCTTACAAGGCCCATCCACTGTAAAAAGCGACAGAAAGTTAATTAGGTGAGATCAGCTGAAACCCCATTCAGGTTTCTGACTCACTTGATTTTGTGAGACGCCAACGAGTTGACATATTCTGCCTCCGAAGGAGCCAAAATGAGCAGGCTGCTCCCATGGCAGCCAATCCGGGCGGTTCTTCCAATCCGGTGGATGTATTCTGCAGGTGAAGATGGAGCGTTGTACTAAAAAGGGTAACAAAAATGAAGGCATTCACAGATCAAGGGACTGCCATTAATTGGAAGTGCAATACCCCTCACCTGCCTGCAGGTATCCCAAGAATTAAATCCTGGTGCTATGGTTACCCTAACGCAATCACAAGGAGAAGTCATTCAACCCTAAAACTCCTGGCTTCATTGGAAATAACAAGGCTCTGACACGCAAATGTGAACAGTGGCCAAGTTTCCGATAAACGAGACAACTTCTCATCCCAATATCTCCTTTTTAATTTCACTTCTCCACAGGTCTCTTCATTTTCTTATTTGCATCTTTTCACTGAGGTGACTGTACAAGGTGAAAATGTAGGCAGGTGGGGGTAAATTTCTCCAGGATGACCACATGACCTTGACCTACTTCCTTGGTAGACAAGGCCACAGGGTGAGGTGTCCAGAGGACACTGGAGGGTGTGGATGAAGGGGCTCCCTGCTCTGCGGGCAGAGTCTACCTCTGTTCTCAGGCCACCAGGAGCAGGCCCCAGGAGCTGGTCCCCATCAGCCTGCCGCAGCCCCATGCAGTCCTTCAGAATGAAGGCCATTCTACAGAATTCGGGCAGGTGAGCGGCAGGTTCCCTGCAGGTAGGGAAGTGATTTCACTTGCATGGAGAGCACTGCTGACTCAGAGAAAAGAGCAGACTCTATCCCTCATTATGATGGATTACACACAGCATTTTATTTTTTCTTTGGCGATAACTTCGTCATCATTAAAGCTAACTGACCATCCACTCATTCTTCCTTTTTCCACGCTTTGATGCTACACAAATCAACGAACTGAGGGCCAAGGTGAATATACTGTATGGGAAGCTAGGCATATTAAATGAATCAATATTTACAATATAAGCTCTAAATGATCAATTCCGTATGTCTGGCCTGCCGTATATTAAAAATCATCATCGTCTTATCTTCAATTCAGTCTGTGGCCAGCAGGAAAGAAGGCACAATGCCTCCAGTTCTAAAGTGATCATCTGCAGTGAGCAGATCAGATTTCCTGGCCAGTGACAGGCATGCAATCCCACTAAACTGTGAATAAACCATGACTCACGTCAACAGGGCACGTGTCCCCTAGCCCCCACACAGAAGGGCTTAAAAATATCATTCTGCAGACTAACAAAAAGAAAAAACAAAACTAAAACCACTAGACTCTAGTGCTAACACCTGTACCCTCTGGCAAAGTGTCTAAGACTAGAGGTATGTGTAAGATGCTGTCAGGAACTTAATTGCTCCCTGCAGGTCAATGTACATGGACACGGCTCTCAGGACAGCTGAGCCATCTCCTTCTGGACACACTAAGGCCTCCCAGGGGCCGAGATAATTCCCGTTATTTTCACATTGTTGAAATTTTGGTTTGTGACATGAATTAGTCTGGAAGCAGGAGAGCCTGCCACCTCCCTCTCATGAACGCACATTTTGGCTGTTTTGCTGCAGTGGTGAGCTGGGCTGGGTTAAGGAAAGATGTCAGAGGAACTGTACAGATAAGGCTGGTTTGCTGCCTGGTTACCAGGGCAACACCCAAGAGAATAATAATAATTATTTTACTTAAAGCCAATGCATCTACTCATGATCACATATTCCTGCCTAAAGCTTACACCTTAACAACTGAAAAATTACCTGAACAATCCATGTGACTTGAGGGAGATCTAAGCCTCGAGCTGCAACATCCTTTAAAAGAGAAAAGAATATGGTTTAACACTGAGTTTCTGAACCTATCTGGGGTTCTGGATATGTTTGATAATCTGACACAAACTCTGAGAGTTCACCCCCTCCATACTGCACGCACATTCAAGAATACATGTGTATGTCTGGTATACACACACAAACACACACACACTCCTGCATACAACTTTAGGGGGCTCAGGAACCCACTGCAGTCCTCTTGTGATTAAAAATTCTGATTTAGGGGCAAATTCTACAGAACTCATTGGTGAGAGAGTCATAACACCCTTTGCTAAAAGAATCGACAGGTTAGCCTAGGAGCTTAAGCAGTAATTATCAGTTGTGTTATGTAAAGAATTCTGAACACTTCTTTATTGGTTTTTATTGATTTACATTTTTTCTGAAAAATCACTTGATGATGAACACGTTCATGGATTATCATCCCCAGCCCACAACTATGAGCAACTCCTAACAACAAGCTGGCCCTGAGGTGTGTTCTGGAACATCACCCCTCAAGGCATTCACTGTGGGGGAGAAGTGCAAAGTATTTACTGAGGATTTTGCTTTCTGGCCTCAGAAAGCAGCAAGGATCTAGTAATCCCGTCTCTTCTGATAGCTGGATTAGAACACAGGCCAAACCCATTAATCGCTTCAAAGACTTAGCTAGATAGCTGAAAAACTAAAAGCAATGCAGACTGATTTTTAATTTTATTTATCTTTTCGACTGGTCACCACCTAAAGAGCAAAAATTCTCTGTTCTCTCACCATTCTAGCAGACTAGAAAGCAGGAATGTCCCCGTCTTTAGCATGCTTTAGCACTCAGCATTCATTCTTCAAGAATAACAGTCACAACAAGTGTCCCAGTCAACATTTACTAAACACTTACTACCCAACACACACACTGCACTGAGAGTTTCACGTGTATTATGTGACTAATCCTCGAAACAACTACTACCCCCGTTTGACAGATGAGAAAATCAGAGTCCAGAGAGATTAAGTATTTTGTTCTCGGACATGCAGCTGGGAAGTAGAAATAATCCTCAAATCCAGGTCTGCTTTGCTTTTTCAAGGTCATATTATATTATACCACATTCCACCACCAAAAATAATCCTATGTCCCTCATATGCTGCGGGTGGGAATCCCTGTATCCAGCAAAATTACATGTGCATTTGCTCCTGACCCAGAACAGTATCACTTCTAGAAATCCAACAAACATATCTGCTCATATTCCAGTAAGAAATAATGGTAGGAAGAACCCCAAAGCTCAAGAAAGTAGTTCCCTCCAAGGGATGAACAGAAGAGGAAGGACAGACCTTCTTTAATGAACCTTGATACTTTTGACTCAGACCATAGAAGAGTCTTGGCACAATTTTAAAACATAAACAGCTATCGCAATAGGAAATACAGAGTATCACTTATGACATATTCTTGTCAAACAAAACAAAACCTGAAACCTAGAACCTAAATCTAAGCAAGTATCTAGATCCAACTACTAGCATACACAGGAAGTAGGGGAGAAAGAGGACCATGTTGAACACCATGAGGACACAATTAGCCAAATCCTGAGTGTAGGGTATTCTAAAAGATCTGGTTTTAACCAAAAAAACTAAAGAAAAAGAGAGGGGGAGTAACACCACCAAAAAAACATTAAGTAGGTAGATGGAGAACCAACACCTTGACAGAGGCTCCCAAAACCACCAACTGTGGTTATGTCTGGACAGAGGATCTAAGGGGATTTTTACTTTTTTCTTTGTGTTTTCCCGTGTTATTTGCTTTGGTGTTAACGATCAATTCTTATCACTTACCCTACCATTTTTATTTATAAAAATTAAAACCTATAGAAAAGTTAAGAGACTAGAACAATCTAGAGGAAGGAGATACAGATGGTAACTTCCTCATCTAGTTCCACCACTGCAGTCTCTGGCGCAACTGCGTACTATCTACGCATCTGCACACACATACACATGTGCAAGCACATTTTTCTGAACCATCTGAAAGTAGGTTGCACACATCATGACACTTTAACCCTAAATGCTTTAGCACATACCTCCTAAGTAAAAGGACATTGATCTACATAACCACACCACCATTAACACACCCAAGAAATTTAACACTGAATAACATTTTCTAATAAACAGTCCATATCCAAATTTCTCTAACGATACCTAAGATGTCTTTTTTTCAAAGATGGGGTCTCATTCTGTTGCCCAGGCTGGAGTACAGTGGCACAATCACTACTCACTGCAGCCTCGATCTCCTGGTTTCAAGCGATCCTCTGGCCTCCGCCTCCTGAGTAGCTGGGACTACAGGCAAGCTCCACCAAACCCAGGTAACCTAGATTCTTTTTTGCCCAAGCTGCTCTTATACTCCTTGGCTCAAGTGATCCTCGCACCCCGGCCTCCCAAAGCGTTGGGATTACAGGCATGAGCCACCACGCCTCACGAGGCCTTTTACAGTTGTTTTTCTTTCCTAAACTAGGATCAGATGGCAGATTGCACACTCCATTATGTCTAATTTGGAACCATACGCCTGCCTTTGACTGACTTATTTAGTTTTCGATGTCTGTCATTTTTTAAGAACATCGAAATGTTCCTGAGGACATCGGACAACTGGATTTGTCTAACTGCTTCCTCATGGTAAGGTTCTGGCTAGGAATTCTGGCAGCAACAAGCTCAGGGCAACACTTTGGGTAAGTCGGTCCTGTTTGGGTCCCTCTGCTGTGAAGGTGACTTTCTCCTTTGTAATGAGTAACTGGGAGTGACACCTTGAGACCAAGCAAGTAACATGGTCCTGTTTCCTAAACCTTTCACCCAAGGCTTTTAGCATTATCGCTGGTCCTTGCCTGTACTGTTACCTTAAGTCTACCATTCCTTCCTTCCATTCTGCAGAAGTATTCTGGAATAATTCTGTAAAAACAGCCCACCCCCCACTCACTTTTCTTTTAAGTATCACAAAGTATTCATATGCACACAACTTTTTTGAAAAACAATAGGTGAAGTTTCTAGAAGAAACACACTCCCACCCAGGCAGAGTGGCTCACACTTGTAATCCCAGCACTTTGGGAGGCCAAGGCGGGTGAAACACCTGAGGTGAGGCGTTTGAGACCAGCCTGACCAACATGGTGAAACCCCATCTCTACTAAAAATACACAATTAGCCAGGAGTGGTGGTACATTCCTGTAGTCCCAGGTACTTGGGAGGCTGAGACAGGAGAAATCACTTGAACCTGGGAGGCTGAGGGTGCAAGGAGCTGAGATTGCGCCATTGCACTCCAGGCTGGGCAACAAGAGCAAAACTCTGTCTCAAAAAAAGAAAAAGAAACACACTCCTGACTCCCCCAGGGTCAGAGGCAGGACTTGAGGGAGACACTGCCTCACCACCGCCCCCCAGAAGAACCACTGAGGGTGCCTCAGGATTGGTCTGCCTTCACTTGTACCTGAGATTTGTGGGTTTTCTGTGAATGCTGGCTAGGCTGAATTTCTAAGTGTGTAAGCAGAAGTTAAATGTACTAAAAGTGTGTCAACCACCCACAAAGTGTTTTCAGACAGCTCCCACAGGATTGGGAAGCTAAAGGCTGATGCTGCAGAGCTGATGCCTTTGAGAACACAATTTAGGATGTTCTCTATCTAAAGGGGAATGGGAGTCGCTTTCTACATCAACTACAGTTTATGTTTCTAGAAACACTGATGAGTTCTTACATCTGCAAAGCTCTTGTTAAGAAATGATTTATTTTCTTTAAGTGCACTGCAGTGGGAGATACATGTAGACAGCGGGCTGCTTGAGCTTTACAGACATGCCTTGTAAAAAATGTAATGCTCAATGGCTTAGTAAATTCAACCAGGAAACACTAAGACTCTAAAGACTAAAATAACGTGTGACGTTCATGAAACTCACTGTGAGTTCACACATTGCAACAGTGAGTGATGACGGGCGCCGGCAGCCTGTCACTGTGCCCTCGAGGTTCTATTTCCTACTTGGGTGACCTAGCTCTGGACAACAGGCTAAGACACAATCTTCTGGTCTCCCACTAATGTGTGTTAGGGGAACCTCACTGAAGAGCCACCCACTGCCCAATATTCCCTGTTTTCTCTCCCCCAGATTGAGCTCAGCCACTTCTTTAGGCTACCACAGTGAATAAGGAGAAGGAAAGGCAAGTGGCAAGTCTTGCTCTAGAAGGAGAGAACTGGACTGCTTGCTCCAGTCCCACTTCGGGGCTGGTCTAATCCGCCTGAGTCCATTCAGCAAGCTGAGCCTCGGCTGCCCTGCCTATAAAATGGCTGGGAGAACCATGCTATGTACGTCATGAGGTTGTTGTGAAGATCAAATGAGACCATGTATGTGAGAAGTATCTGGAGAACTATAAATCTCAGTATTCTGAGGTTTTATAAATTTCACGGATCCTGGTGAAGTAAGAACTGGCATGATGGCAATCAGGCGGAGAAGTTACTTCAGTGCCTCTGTACTCTCCTCCTCCATCACATCTCATTCTCTGTTCCCGCCCCACCCTGGGAGAGGACCCTGGGAAGCAGCAGAGGCTCCATCTCCCTGGAGCACCATCAGCCAGCTGCATCAGATCAACAGGAGATGGTGACCCACCCAAGACTCAGCAGAGGATTCTGTTCTGCCTCCTCTTAGAACTTAGATGTAGTCCCATTTTATTCCTTTATCCTAATTAGGGCAAAAGAATTGCTAAAGTCAGTTCTGAAAGACACTCAACGGTGAGGCCTTGAAGGCCCTGGGCTTGACAATTGGCTGCCTCCATGAGACCTAGGAGTACAGATGGAAGGCAGCTTGCTCAGGTGCCAGCCTGTCAGTTGGATTAAAATGACTCATTTATTTACCCAAGAACCTCACAAAGTGCTTTTACTAACAGGGAGAGGGGGCCTGCCGTCTCTCTGAGAAGGGACGCAGCACACTCGCCTCTGACGCCTTCCCGGCCTGCCAAAAGTCATTATTGCCGTGTGTGGAAAGCCATCAGCAGGGTCCAGGCCCCCGTTGTCCGGGTGACAGATTGGGCTGCGTAATCAGAGGAGGAAGGAGAGAGTGCAGAAGCTGTCAGAGGCGAGAGATCTTGGCTGGAGCCGCCAAAAAACTGGCAACATGAGTTAGCGTAACTGAGTAAACAGCAAACAATCTCCAAATGATCTTTCCATTAACACCAACAAAATAAAATGAAAAAGATAAACTTTACCCAAAAAGCATACCCCAGAGAAAAGCATGAAAGTCCACATTTATTTGGGGCACAGAACTGACATTCTGTGACTCTCACAGCCTTATCTCCTTTGTCTCCAAGCCTCCTGGCACGGTGGAAATTTCCCAGGAGGAGAGGAAATTAAGAACTGTACAGACAGAACAGTATGCTTCAAGCGGAAAAAAAACTGCAAAGGTGGAGGGAGGCAGTGCAGGTGATTTAGGTGCATCTTCCAAAAAAGAAAAGCATGCGCTGGACAACCAAGGAGGATGTCAAGGGACAGTCAGTGCCCGGGGGAGCTGGAAGTGTCTTTCATTTCTGGGGGAAAGGTGACTGCGCTCTAACCGGAGACAACCAAGGAGAGCCACCCAGACCAACAGAAAACCTAGTGTCAGCCTTAAAATCAGGTGGCTTGGAAACTCCATCTTCCACTCATTCAGTGGTACTTTGTCAGCTCATCACCATCACGATGGCATTAAAAACCAGTTCCTTTCCTCTGGCTCAGGGTGGGTTCTTCTCTATAAAGGCAGGAGGAAATAACATTTTGCAAATGATCCAGTGCCTGGTACCTGATCCCTTTGGTTGCTTAATTCCACTTGGGAAAGTGGGCTTTGAACTTCCAATGACTCCTTCCTGCTCATCCCGACTCCCTACTTCACTTGGCTTTTTCTTAGATCTAGTTTTCCAGAAGACACGAAAGTACAGTGTGAATGTGTGAGGACTCCTTGTCTTTCACAAACTGATCTCTTTTGCCCCAACTACCCTTTGCCTAGACTCCATCTTACCACAATCACACCTGTACTGAACAGCCACAGTACACAAAGCCATGTTATCAGGGCTTGAGAGCTGCATGAAATTAAAAAGCTCCCTGCTTTTAAGATGTATATAACTAAAATGAAATAAAGCACACACATGCACCGTAACTGTTTCTAACAGGAAGGAGAGTGGGGTGGGGGACTTTTTAATGGTAAAGGAAATAGCGTTAACGGTGAACTTCTGTGTGAGCACATCACTATTTCCAAATTTTCATAAGGACATTCATTCTGGCCTTGTTAAAAGGATCTCGGGATGATAAATGAAAATGGCAAAAGGCACAGTACAAAGGGGGGAAAAATCCCCACTTAACGATTAACAACACGATTCCTCTTTATCAAAAGAAGCCAGTTCTCCATCTGTCTCATCCTGAAGTGGCCCTCGTTCCTCATTAACACCAAGGAGGCTCCTGGAGAGCGTTCAGATAGCCTGGCAAGCAACAGGCTGCTTAAAAGGACGCAGAGTGGCAGCATCTCCCCCAATCCAGGCATGATCTATCACAGCGTGTGTATCCCACGCGCCCCGCAGCTCTCAGATGCCAGAAGCGTCAGCTAGAGCAAACAAGCATGGCAGAAGGGGCAGGAACACCGAGAGGAAGCGAAGAACTTCCCACAACTGGGAACCTGCACTTTTGTTCTGGCCCAGCTATTGAGAGAAACGAGCCCCATCCAGCTCTTCACCAGTCATCTTCACTACAGAGCAAAGAGAGTCCACAGAAGATCAGCATGCTGGTGTGGCCTGGACTAGAAAATGAACAAAGACCAAGGGCTTTAGAGAAATCAGGCTATGGGCAAGGGAGAGTTTTCATTACACGTGGCACCTGGCACTGGCAGGGTGCAGAGGGCTGGGGGGGGGGGTACTGTGCTTGCCAAGACAATGGCGTTCTTTGTCTAGCTGATACCACGTGCCTGTAGGTATCATCAGCCAGACAGAACAAGGAAAGTGATCATATGCTTTGATCTCACTGAGAATTGTCTGAAATATCTGAGAAAGAATAATCTTTTTCCATGAAGAGCTACTAAAAATACAAGTTCAGGTATCTGAACTTCAGATACCTGGGGTTTTCTTTTGGGCTTATAGCTCGCCCGTGTCTATAAAAGTGTTCACCTACTAGGAAACTCAACAATTTCCGAGGGATAAATCCAGCATCTTATGGGTCAAAGATAAAATATTCTGTTCCTATCATAACCCACACTCTACCACAAAGGTTCTTACTGCTCTCTATTTCAACATTAACAGTCTAGAACATTCACTTCTCAGATGATACCAGATAAATGAAAAACTTAGTCCCAATGAGTACGTCTATTAATCTCTACCTCTCTGTCTTAAAAGACACTACACTGGTAGCTCTCAACATCAACTTTCTTGGGCCCCATTTATCGCCTCCAATTTGACCAGCAAAAATGCCAAGTGCCTACTGCGTTTGCCTGCCTGTTCTATGCTAGACACCGGGATAAAAATGCAAACAAATCTGTCCTTGTCTTCACGGCGCTGACGATCAGCTGGGAAGGCACCTAGGCGAGGTGGGATGAGCACTACGGTGAAGAAACGTAGAGTGCACTGGGACGGCCTCATGGGGAAGAACGGGGGCTCCTGGGTTTCGTTTCTTTTAAGACATAAAATGTAAGCAGAGACCTAAGGGTGGTTTAGTCAAAATCATGACAGCATTCCAGGCAGAGGGACTAGCCCGAACGAAGGCCCCAAAGCCAAAAGATATATTCAAGGTCTAAAAGAGGGGGCTGTTTTGCTGAAGGGTAAGGAGCAAGGGGGAGAAGGATGAAAAGAGATAAAAAGGGATCAGTTTCCACAAAGCATTGTTAGATATAATAAGGATTTTTGACAAATTTCTTTCTCCTGCTTTTTTTCTTTTAAGACAAGGTCTCACTCACTCCGTTGCTCAGGCTGGAAAGCAGTGGTGCAATCACAGCTCACTGTAGCTCGACCTTCTGGGTTCCAGTGATCCTCCTGTCTCAGCATCCTGAGTAGCTAGAACTACAGGCACATGCCACCATGCCTGGCTAATTTTATTCTTTAATTTTTTGTAGAGACAGGGTCTTGCTATATTGTTGCTCAGGCTGGTCGTGAACTCCTGGGCTCAAGTGATCCTCCCACCTTGGCCTCCCAAAGCGGTGGGACTGTAGGCGTGAGCCACTGCACCTGGCCCAACAAATTTCTTTATTAAGTAGATTATTTGGAATTAATCTTCACTACAGACCATGCATAAAGATGGCTTTAGAACAAGCTCGAGCATCTGACTCATGGATGGGCCTCATAAAGGGAAAGGCTTGGTCAGACACAGACCTCCTAAGGAGGCAAGTATTCCATGATTACAGCTCTCAGATCTGAATGTCGGCAGAGCCACTGTTTGCCTCGCACACATGAGAACCGACACTGTGATAAGCAGGTTACCAACAAGCCCTCTTGCAGATGAGCACATGTATATATACACACAAGAAACCATGCTGCACTCGTACAGAAAGTCTACACTTAGAAAAGTCTCCATTACCTTTAACACTGAATATGGAATACAAGTTCCTTAAAAAGTAATTGCATTGAATGTGGCCTAGATGGACATTAGCTTAGTATCTTTCTTTCTTCCCAGCTCTTGTTCGCTGGATTTACTATATTTATAGTACAATTTCATTACTGTATATATAGGGACTTCTCCAGTAACCAGTTGGGGATTAAGTGACATCATCCAAGATGGCACAGAGAAGGCATTTTAATCTTTGGAGATAGCAACGACTATGGTAAAGAGAATCCCCAGAGCGGGGGAACAGTGAAGGTGTGAGTTTTTAATCTCCAAAGAGCATGAGAGGTGTGAGTTTAAAAAGTCAGTGCTGTGCTGGAGAAGGCAGCTACCTAAGACTGCAAACCCTGAGGCTGAGGAAGCTGGCCCTGAAATCACAGGGCAAACAACAGTCTGAGACAACAGCAAATAAAATCAGCCCAAATGCACCGGTTTTCCTTTAAGAAAAGGTGAGCAGACGCAAGCAGAATCATTTTGTTGTGGAAAGACTTTCTCAGCTCTAATTACTCCCGATAGCTGTAATTTACAAGTTTTTGGTAGCTAGAAATCTCCAAGATTCACACATATTCAGACCAACAGCTGCCACTATTAGTGAGCAAACTGCCAAGTCTTCTGCGCAGTGGTGGCTGGCTATCTGTGACTCCGTCAGGTGACAAGAAAGAAGTGCAAAGAGGCCAGCCCCATTATGGGGCCCCTAGTGTTCCTGGGCCCTATAGGGCTGACCACAGGACAAACAGTCAGGAGATGAAAAATTACACAGCCAATACAGAAATGTATCCGCCTTCGCATGGAAGACAGGATGATACGTACCGTGCAAAGAAGGACGCCTCTTCTGGAATGTGAAAATTCCTGAAACACTGCTGTTCTTTCCTACAAAAACAAGGAAAAATAGGGCCTTATAACTCAGAGACAAACTCCAGCAAGGCAGGCTTAGATCTCCCTAGCTCTCCCCATCTCCTACTGCTAGAGCTGTTTTCAGGCACAGAGAGGTTTGCCAGGCAAGAGGAAGAAGTGGCTTCTTTATATCTTTTAAAATGACCCTGTATTTACAGGACCAGATTGAGGCTACAAGGAGGAACTTTGAGGGTGCGCATTTCTGTAAGACAGTAGCAGGGTAGGCACACTCTCCAGGAATGGCCAAAAACAAGAACAGGAAGGCACAAGTTACTACATGGAAAGTTCCAAGCCTGTGTGCAATTTATTCTAAACCTTTTCCTACAAGTGCTCTGTAGAAATCGAGAATAACCAACCTTATCTACAGGCAATTTTTTAAAAGATTAGATATTTATAAAACTATGTATTTTAATTGTAGAAAAACTATATTTATGTTAAAGGAAGAAAATAAAATATCACTCAAGGCAAACCACCACTACCACCAGGGACACCTTGATGTTTCCCAAGTCCCCCTTTTATGCATAACATAACCAAATAGTCAGCTTTCCAAAAACATGGTATCCTACTACTTATACTGTTAACATGCTCTTATATACCAACAGAATATGAACATCTCTTGATGCCAGCAAGTATCCAAAGATCACATCATCTCTCATGGTAAAATAGTATTCAGCTAAATGGATGTACCATTATTTATGTGACCAATGTTGTATTACTGGCAATTAAAGTTGTCTCTGATTTGTGTGTGTGTGTGTGTGTGTGTGACAGGGTCTCACTTTGTCACCCAGGCTCACTATACAATCTCAGCTCATGTAACCTCCACCTCCCAGGCTCAAGTGATCCTCCCACCTTGGCCTCCTGAGTAGCAAGGGACTACAGGCATGCACCACTATGCCTGGCTAATTTTTGTATTTTCTGTAGAGATGAGGTTTCGCCATGTTGCCCAGGTTGGTCTTGAACTCCTGAGCTCAAGCAACTCACCAGCGTCAGCCTGCCAAAGTGCTGGGATTACAGGCGTGAGCCACAACGCCCTGTTGATATTTTAATGTTGCAATCAATGCTGTGAGATAAACATCTCTGTAAATAAGTCACTGTGTACATTCTTAAGTATTCCCTTAGGGTAAATTCCTAGAAACACACTTGCTGAACCAAAAGGTGAGCATCCTGGAATGCTTTCAGTAGGAGCCTGCAAGCACGCATTCAGTCATGACACCTCTGTGTACTTGAGTTGGTTACACTTACCCGTCGGCAACAAATACAAAGAGAACCAAGCTATTCACAATCTGGAAAAAGGTAAAGTCTCTGCTGCTTTGGCACAGTCACCACGCACTGTGGCATGTCTTTCTGGTCTTTCATGTGCATAGCTTTTGTCCATGGCTGGAAGCCCAGGGCACAGCTCACTTAGTGCACCGGATAAAGACATACCAACAACATTCATCAAGTGCTCACCACGTACCAGACCCTGGTGCAAGCACCTTACACGTCTGAATTTCTCTAATCCTCAGTGTCCCTATGTGTAGGTACTATCCATCACTCCCATTTTCCAGAAGAAAAAAACTGAGGCACAGATGGGTTAAGGAACTTGCCCAAAGGACATGCACCCGTGGAAAAGGGCTGGAATGATACTGAACCCAGGGAGTTGCGTTCCAGAGTCAGTGCTCAGACCCTCGAAAGGACAGATACATTCACTCAGTCTGCTGCATGGCCTTTTACAAGGATCATTTTTAATGGCTACATCGTAGAATCAAAATCAGAAAAAATCAAAAAAGTTCATAAAAGCTTGTGAAATACCTTGAAGACCAGATATGACGTATTCAGATTTGGGGTAAGAAAAAAAGCCGACCAAACTCTTGGACTTTCATCATGACTCCCATGCAAATAGCAACTTCTATCCAGTGCTCATCGACGTATGTAGAACCATGTCAAGCAACGAAGGAGACATGTAGGATAGTGGCCAGGAAGATACAAGTGGGACTGTTTCAGCTTAGACTCGATTAAAAAACTTACCCCAATGCTTACAAAATAAAACACAGGGATATTATACCTTCTGTCTTCTACTGCAAAGGCTAAATACTTAATAAACAGACAGCATCAATAAAATATAACAATTTTAAACTATAAAAAAAGAACTATTCCTGAAGGACAGAGAACAACAATAGTACTAATGGCGCCTAACATTTACTGAGCACTTACTGTGTGCTGTGTACAGAAAGCATTAATTCAGTCAACCCTAAAGGAAGTACACTTATCATCCCCATTTTAGAGACATGGAAACTGAGTCACAGAGAGTTTAGTTACCTGAGATTCCACAGCCAGCAAATGACAGCAGGACAAAAGCACAAGCAGTGTGTCCCCAGAGGGCACAGCTACAAACAGCATGCTAGACTACTGCTGTTACAACGTGAGATGAACATTATACTCTGTGTAATGAAGCTACAGACTCTTGTATGATCTATTACAGAAAATCCCTAGACCGTTCTGAGTCCACACCCAGCTCCCCGCATCAGCCTTGGACCAACGCTGCAGAACACCTCTAGTAAAAACAGACCCACAGGATTAGTAACAAAGCATAAAACAAAAACAAAACACAAAACCATTAATGGTATTAAAAAAATAAAATTGACAGGTCTGATTCAATCGGGGATCCAAAGGTAAAAACCAAGAGTCTACCTAATGCACAAGGGCTGGAATATTCAGGAATTTCTATAGCATCTTGTGGCAAATAACCTGTGCCCTTGAGTGACCTTGAGCAGGTTCGCTTTTCTGGGCCTGCATTTACTTCATTATTCAAATAAAAGAGCAAAACCAAAGAGGGGCTGGACTTATTTAGGAAGATGTCAAAGCTGTAGTGTCCCTTTCAGCTCTAGAAGTGTTATGATCTTTTAAGCTGGCTCAAGTCAAATCTCATTCTGATTTCCAGTTTTCCTTCTCACTTTCTGATTTTCAAAGCTGCCTGGTAACCTCTCCTCTAGGTCAAAATGGCTCCTCTTTCTGCGTCTCACTCGTCCTTCCTTTCCAGTTCCGGCGAGCAAATCTCACTCCCACACTCCACCCCGACTCCCTAACAAACAGCCCAGTTAAGAGTGGAGGAATGCAACTCACACAGCTAAGTCCCTAAAATCGAGGAAATTTGTATTCTTCTTCCTGAACAGAAATCTCACTCTGTGCTGAGAAAGAACTGGGAACCCGAAGCCCCTTTGGTTCACAGTACCCTCTCCCAACCAAAAGTGTTGAGAGTGCGGCGCTGCGTCTTGTTGACAATGACAGCAGCCGTGCTCAGCAGTACCATATGGGATCCACAATTTAGCTCCATTAATGCTCTTAATTTGAAGACATCAAGCCCTAATTACACACTGGGTACTAAAAAGGCAAAACCCTTCCCTGGTGCCAGCTACTTAGTGGTACTCTGTTGCCTTAACAGCTGGTTGAGGTAGACTCAGGCCAAGTCGGGGCCTGTGAGCTCTCTCGGGTGGAAGAGACCAGCTCCCGGAGCAAAAGCAAATGGGAACAATACACCCCCTCGCCCACATCAATCCTGCACGGTGATCCCCTTGAGTTCCAGTGGGTCACCCATTTTCGTCTAATTCTTGACTTGCCCAGCGGAACGTGCAAGGGTCGTAGCCATTGCTGAGCCTAAAGAATGGGTTTGCTGGACTCAGGTCTGTCCGCATCTCCACGTGGGGCCACGTCACTCCACAGGGAGATCGGTGCTCACCTCCTGCTCCATGTTGCCATGCAGTCGTAGGAATTTTAATCGCGTGGAGGCAGATGGCAACTGCCCTGATGCCGGGGCCCCTGAGCTGCTCAGCAGGGTCTGCAGGAAGAGGCTGTAGTGGAACTCCACCAGCTCGCAACTTGAGAAAAAGACAACCATCTTCTGGTCTTTCTCAAACTACATCAACATAAAAGGAGAAAAAACCCACATATTTTAAGATTAGGTGACATTAAAACGAGTATTTCTCTCAACTACATGGTCATGCTGACCTCTACTTAGAAACAAAGGTTTCTTTGAATTATTTAAAAAAAAAAAAACAAAAACAGCGATACTCCACTCTACAAAGAATGCAGGAGAGAAAAATGACATAGTGATCATTTCAAACAGCTTTTCCTTCTCTGACAAAAATAAACACACTTTGGAGCGCAGCTGTGCGGAGCTGCGTTCCTTTCACTCGTCCAGGGCTTGCCACAAGCAACACGACCTGGCTGAGACCACACATACGCAGAATATCCTGAAGCTCCACCCTTCATCCCTTCCACTCACTATTTTCCCACATCTCAGAGAAAGTTATCACAGAAATCTAGTAAATAAATAAACAAATGCCAGGATTCTTTGAGAAACATGAGGACGAGCCCCTAGATCTGCCTCACATCCAGCTGTTCCCACCACCTGTGATGTTCCTAATGTCACAGGAGAGATACGGAGGACAGATTTCAAGCTGAGCATCATGGCTATTACTCACCTATGATTCTTTACCATAACCCTAAAACCTGACTGAAAGGACGTATATCAAAGTCCACCTCTGGAATGCAGAGATAAGTTGGAAAACCTTCTCTGATTCCTGGTGTCTCAACTCACTGCTACCTATGCTTAACACAAGAAAGCAGCCTTTCTTCCCGGGATCAAGTTGGCTCTAGCCCACAGTCCTACCTTGCATTTCTGAAGGATGAAGGCCGCTAGGCAGACAAGCCTTAGTTTGCTGGGAACCACAGTTACGTGCTGCTCGAGACTCTCTGGTATCGCAAAGCTGTCCAGCTCATCGCCAGCTGGTGGAGGACAGACCTCCTGGACCACTTTGTCCTTTGGGTTCAACTGGTCATGGCTCTCGTCCAGGACAGAAATACTGACTGGATCATGCAAACTGATATCAGCCAGCCGCGTTACACCTTGCACAGAATGAGAAGGGCAAAGCGGATGACAAACACACTGTAAAACTGGTCACAAAAGCACATGCCCCCCACAGCAGCCACCCATGTATGTTAGGAAAGTCCCCATGGATATCATCAACTCCCAGCACTGATCTGCCCTAGTGCCAATCTGTGTTGCAGGGAGATCTACCAGTTTCTTTCCACAGTCTAACAACCAACCCGTATTAACATTCCACAAACACTCACCAAAGAATAGCATCCAAAGAATAGCAACAGATACTGTGCCCACCCCCACCTCCCATAAGGGTTCTTTGGTCAAGTAAGTTACGGCAAACCTTTGATTTCAAAAGTTTCACAAAAGCTTCTTTGCTGTAAGCAGCACTCTCAGGGCCTTTATTGTGTTAATGTGCCCTGAAAATATCCAAGGGAGGGGAATGTGGGGCATTTCTCAAACTTTTTTGACCACAGAATCCCTTTTTCACGTGCTATCCTTCCAAATTAATGTTACTTAGAACATGGAGAACTGGTACATGCATATTGCAATGTGGCCTAGTAAGCCAAGGAAACCAGACACACAAACGTGAATGCTGCACTGTTCATCAGATGACTCACTGCATGGGGTGATTCTGGTGAAGTGATGCAACTTTTCTAAGCTTACGTGTTCCCAATTACAAAAGAGAGCTAAGAATTTCCATCTCAGGCTGGGCACGGTAGCTCAAACCTGTAATCCCAGCACTTTGGGAGGCCGAGGTGGGTGGATCACGCGGTCGAGAGATCAAGACCATCCTGGTCAACACGGTGAAACCCCGTCTCTACTAAAAATACAAAAAATTAGCTGGGCATGGTGGCCCGTGCCTGTAGTCCCAGCTACTCAGGAGGCTGAGGCAGAAGAATTGCCTGAACCCAGGAGGTGGAGGTTGCGCTGAGCTGAGATCGCACCGCCGTTGCACTTCAGCCTGGGTAACAAGAGCGAAACTCCGTCTCAAAAAAAAAAGAATTTCCATCTCATATGGATGGAAGACAGAGAAGAGCTTCTTCAATAATATATTTTTTAAGTTCAATAGCTCTTTAGGAGGAAGAATGATTACATAAAAAAGGCACTCAGCTGAGGCCACCATCTTCAGTGCAAGGGCCCTGCTCTCTGTGGGCTGCAAGTACAAAAAAAACCCCATGAAACCACCAAGCCAACAGAAGCCAGTCTTTCCTCCTCCTCACCCCTGCCCTTTCTCCCTTTCCCCACACCCTGGGGCACATATCTGTCTCGGATGAGTGGAAGAGGGAAGCTGGGAGTGCAGAACACAGAGTTTCAGAGGCAGCCTTCGAAGGAGTCTCTCTCCCCGCCCCCACCTCCCCGAGGTTGAGAATCGATGCAATAAACAACTGGGATTCAATCCAGGTTCTTCCTCTTCATTAAGAACAAAGAAGGTCCCATCACTTCTTTTCAACTCACCTTCTGTGAGTGTTGCTGATAGCAAGACGTTCTGTCGTTTTTGACATTCAGCATTTACAGCATTAAGTATCACTGTGATGTCCTTTTCAAAACCCAAATCCAGGATTCTGTGGTTGTAAGAAAAGAAATTTTTATCTCTATGAAGAGCAAATGTGGTCTAAGGGGCTAGAGAAGTCACAACAAGGAGAGCAGAAACAGCCCTTCTCTTCCACCTGTCATCATCCTGGGACGAGGCTCACCTGTCTGCTTCATCAAACACCAACCACCGCAGCCGACTAAAATGAATGTTCTTTGTGGATTTTATATGATCCACAAGACGTCCAGGAGTTGAGATAAGGATATTTATTCCTTTGCGGAGTCTGTTTAAAATTATATATCATAAAACAAAGTAAATCAAACAAGGCTACACCAATAGAAAACACAGGAAAAAGGCAAAAGAGGCAGACTCATCTCATGCACAGTGCAAACATGCCACAGCCTGAAATCATGAAAAACAGAATGACAACTGGGTGGAAAGCTGTGCTCGAGTCTTTCCCTCTACTGTGAAACGCAACTGTTAAGATCTGAAATTACATTAAAATCACAAAATCTTAACTTCGGAAGGAATCATAACTACATAAGCCAGTGCTCTTTATCTGATTCATAAATCCTTTCTAGAACCTTCCAAAGAGATTGTCATCTAGCCTGTTCTTGAAGGTTTCTGTGTCAGGGAATCTATCATCTGAGCAAGTTATCCCATGCCAATGTGCTCCAATTGGTAGGACACTTTTTTCTTATGCTAAACCCTTTATGTAACTTCCATACAACGGGGCTCAGCTTTGTCTCATGGGATATATACAATAAATCTAATTGCTCTTTCTCCAAACAACCATTTTCCTATTGTCCACAGTAATAAAAGCCTCCAATTTTTAACACATTTTTTTTTCTTTGTAGAGACGGAGGTCTTGTTATGTTGCCCAGGCTGGTCCCAAACTCCTGGTCTTAAGTCATCCTCCTGTCTTGGCCTCCCAAAGTGCTGGGATTACAGGCATGAGTCACTGCACCCAGCCTACCTGGGGATATTTTCCAGCTTCCCTTGCAGTTAAGTATAGTCATGTTTCTGTTTTAGCAATGGGATAAAAGGGTAAAGGGAACATATCAATCACGCAAGCACTTTCAGAGGGAGCAGGTATGATCATCTCTGTATCTGCTGGCAGGAAATTAGATGCAATGGTTGGAGTGCCTGCAACTATCTGCGACTATAAGGTGACCTTAAAAATGGAATCCTTCCATAGTGGCACAAAAAGACAGAAAGAGCTAGGTTGAGCCCTGACACTGGAGCACCAGGCCAGCCTTGGACTGGCTCCATCAGATTTCTTAAATGTGAAAGAAAAATAAAACTTGTATATTGTGTGTGCCACTGTTATTTGTTATTATTGTTATTATTTACAGCTGAGTTGAACCCTAACCAATGCTCTGAGGCTTTAGGTTCCATATTTACTTCTCAGTTATAGACTACATACATAATTACTGAGCACTAATTATTAAGCTATACTACAATAGAAGTATTTTCAAAAGAATGAAGACAATTTGAGATTTACTTGTTGCAACAGTGTTCAACTGACACCCACTGCAAAGCCTAATAAAGAAAGGAATGAACGTATTTGATCCTAAAAAGCAAGTTGCAAAGCATTATATAAGTTTATGGTCTTGTTTTTGTAAAAGCAAACAACGAAACCCCAAACTCTCAATGTACACAAAAGTGAGCCACACCCGAGGTGCATATATACTAAACCAGGGATGCTGTCGGGCATCTGGGAGGTGGGAGTGAAGAAGGTGACAGCACTGTTACTAGCAACATCAGAAGAAAACCTGTTTGTAGGTTTAATATTTTAAAAAAACAGCACCGTCTAGAGGTGACCGCTCCCCACTGACTCAATCTGTCCCTGTGCACCGGGAGTAGGAAGCAGAGCCTGAGACAAAGCCCTCAGCAGGGTTAGAAGGACCCAGCCTTACCAAGCAGGAAGGCAGGACAAAGAGATTCAAGAAGGAAATAACCAACAAACCTCTCCCTACCTGGCCTTTTCTGATTTTCTCTTCTCTCCACCCATTAACACTCCAGGCACAATCCAGGTGAATGGCTACAGAAAGACAGCAGACCACAGTCAAGGCAAAGCCCCCTTTATTAACATAAGACAATGATTCCAAATTCCCTTTCCTTAAAAAGGCATGACAAAGAACTGAAGCTTCCCACTGTACAAGGTGAACTGTGCAGACACACTCCCCAGGCATTGCCACACCCATGTTCACTATCAGCAGTAACTTGAATTACAGGTCTATAACCAGCTTCTACCATGGTAAGAGAGAAATGTGAGCTTCTTAAATCATTCAAGTAGCTTCCCTGTCTTTCCCCACAGAGCCTGAATTGAAAACACATTTCGGCAAGTCTATTGCCTTTTTGGGGATTAAGATAAAACCCAAGCACACCCTTCCCTACTCTCCACCCCTAATAAAAGGAAGGATGGATCAATTCATGATGTAACTTGGTGAGCTGGCAGGCTTTGACTCTGCAGCCTTCACTCTCCCTTCTTAAACAAACCCTACTTGCAGCTTTCTAAGTTGCTTTCCACTGGACTGCCATCAGGTTGTGCCTGTGAATTTCTGTATGTGGCTTGCTAGTGACTATGATGAACAAATTGCAGGACTTTATGCACCAGGAATCACTGAGAATCCAGCGAAGCTAGAAATTGGCAGCTTTAGATCAGTAAAAACCTATAAACTACCTAGAGAAAGCAGAGATATCCAAGCAAAAGGAAATGATTCTTATCTCTTTGAAAATAAAGAATAAACTGTGGTATATTAAATCCTTCCTCAAAGTCAGAAAACATAAAATGCTCATGGTTTGCCTTACCTTAAGCAGTTTCTGGACTGTGTCAAAGCTTTGTAGAGCCAGCTGCAAAAATTGTAAAAGTTAGAGATGATGAACAGGATCCCTTTTTTCCTTTCTTTGTTTTTTTTTTTTTTAAAAGACAATGTAATGTGATTAGGATCCAAACTTGGACCTCAAGTTAAGATTTAAGAAGAAAAAAAATCCTACACACAGAATCTACTCAGAAAATACACCTTGTCTTAGACTGGTTCTGCAACCTGTCAGTTTGGGAAAAGGGGGTAAAGACATCACCTTAGAAATACACAAAAATAGTGTTTTGTGCTCCCTCTGCTGGCTCAAATTCCCCGAGTGCCACATAGAGAAGTTCAAGTCTGTGGTGCACAAAAATGTAAGGGGATGAAACAAAGTGACCTGAATTTGACTCTCCTTAGAAACAGAAAGAATACAGTATGTATGCAGGGTAAACCAGAATAGTGGTTCAAAATGCTAGCCTCCGGGAACTTCACTCTAAAGGTGCAAGAACCATATTCTATAACTGTGCCAGGGTACCTGAAGACTGGGAGATGGTCACTCCTCAACTTTCTATCAATAAAACAAAAGCAAACCAACAAGTCCATTAGAGAACAAAGCAAGTAAAAACTAAAGTCGGCTACAGCTATTAACGACCTTCAATGCCTCATACAGAATCCCGTTCTCAAAGGATGTGTACAGTTTCCACATATTTAGTATTCATGAAGCATCCTAGAGAAGTAGCAACTTTGCTGCTATAAAAATTTTAATAGCTTCTGTGCCTGCTCCTTCACTGGACTGAGCTGAGATAGGGCACTGCAGGCTGTATAAAAGGGTGACTTCAAATCTCCATCTCTGTGATCAATTCTCTGTAAGGAAGTGATTAGCATTTGATACAGAGACCAGATACCCTAATCTGAAGTTGTCTCTGTAGGCAAATAAAATAGATCAGATAGAAGAGATTTCCACCAAGAAAGAAGAATTATATTGAAAAGTTTAAGTTTTTTTTGGTAGCAGTAGCTTCTTAAAAAAAAAAAAAAAGGTTCATTTTCAGAGACAACTGCTTTTGGTTTTGAATTCAGTTGCAAAATTTTTCTTCTTTTTTAGCAACTGAACTCAAAACAGTATTAAACAGACATTTAATAGTGTCATTAGTTTCGAGACAATAAGAAAATACTTTTCCATACTTATGATTCTCAGAGACTACTTGACAAGAACCAGAAGGATGGTTTCCAGGCAAATGGAACTGGTGTGCAGTGGTTTGTGCAGTAGGAAGAAAAATTCAACAGGACATCAGTGAAAACATGTGCTTAAAACCTGCCCGGAAAGGGACCCTGCTTACCTCTCTCGTTGGCACAAGCACCAAGACATAGGGGCCATCACTGCGCTGTTGACACAAGAAAAGAAATGCCATGAGCAGGATAAACAAAGGCAGACTCCAAATGGACAGGACACAGGGGTAACATCAGAAGCAATCTCAGCGAAGAAAGGGACAAGATAAGGATGCCCACTGATGTGGTTTGACTGTGCCTCCACCCAAAGCTCAACTTGAATTGTATCTCTCAGAATTCCCACATTGTGGGAGGGACCCAAGGGGAGGTAATCAAATCATGCCGGCCAGTCTTTCCTGCTTTTCCTATGATTAAGTCTCACAAGATCTGATGGGTTTATCAGGGGTTTCTGCTTTTGCTTCTTCCTCATTCTCTCTTGCTGTCACCACGTAAGACATGCCTTTCGCCCTGTGCCATGATTATGAGACCTTCCCAGCCATGTGGAACTGTAAGTCAAATTAAACCTCCTTTTCTTTCTAGTCTTGGGTATGTTTTTATCGGCAGCATAAAAATAGACTAATATACCCACTAACCCCATCATTCTAGAATACCGTTGCAGAGTTCCTGGCTCATACAATCAGATAAGAGAAAGAAATATGATGTATAAAATTAGAAAGTAGGAGACAAAATTAGAGAAAAAAAAAAACCTGTAAGAGAATTAATTAAAAATCTATTACAAACAAGATAATTTTGTCAAGTAGCTGAGTGCAAAATTAATATATAAAAATCAACAGCCGGCCAGGCACAGTGATTCATGCCTGTAATTCCAGCACTTTGGGAAGCCAAGGCAGGTGGATCATCTGGGGTCAGGAGTTTGAGACCAGCCTGGCCAACATGGTAAAAACCTGTCTCTACTAAAAGTACAAAAATTATCTGGGCATGGTGGCAGGTACCTGTAATCTCAGCTATTTGGAAGGCTGAGGCATAAGAATCGCTTGAACCAGGAGGCGCAGGTTGCAATGAGCCAAGACTGTACCATTGCACTCCAGCCTGAGCGACAAGAGTAAAACTCCTTCTCAATAAGAAAAAAAAAAAAAAAATCAATAGCCTTCTAATATAAAAAGTTAAAAAATACAATGAAAGGAAAAAATATCACACTTATAATAGCAATAAAAAAGATAAAAATAAGCTAGCAAAAAAATACACAAAATCTACATGAAGAAAATTTTAACACTTCTGAGGGACATAAAGTAACTTTTGAATAAATGAAAAGATACACCCTATTTCTAAAAAAGAAGATGTAATAGTACATACATATAAGCTAATTCTCTCTAAATCACTTCATAAATGTAATATAATTCTTACAAAAATGCCACAAATATGTGTATATATAAAATAACATAAATAACCAGACAACCTGATTTAAAAGTTCATATGGAAAAATAAATGTACAAAAATAACCAAGACATTTATGAAAAATATATCAGATGTTAAAATAATTTAAAGCTACACAATTACCAATAATGATACTGGCACATGAGCAAAGATTGTAACAGCTAAGAAAGTTGAAAATAGAATCAAATAGATACCAAAATTTAGAAAATAATATAAGGGCCGTTTTATATCAGCAAGAAAAAGATGGTTTAATTCCAAAGTCCCGTGAGAAAAAAATAAAGGTAGGAAAACAAAGTTGGAATTAAGTTGTCCCTTTAACAGATGACATAAAACTCAGAAATCTTAAAACACCAATAAGTTTTATTACCTAAAATTTTTAAATTTCAGAATAGAAAAATGATACCTAAACAAAACCAAGGGTCAAATGATAACCCAGGAGGAAAATATGCCACAACTGAGAAAGAGCTAATTTCATTAATTTATGTATTTTTAAAAGCCCTGGGTTTTTTCGGTTTTTTTTTTTTTTGAGACAGAGTCTTGCTCTGTTGCCAGGCTGGACGGCAGTGGCACAATCTCTGCTCGCTGCAACCTCCACCTGCCAGGTTAAATGATTCTCCTGCCCCAGCCTCCCAAGTAGCTGGGACTACAGGTACACACCACAATGCTCAGCTAATTTTTGTATTTTTAGTAGAGACCAGGTTTCACCATATTAGCCAGGCTGGTCTCGAACTTCTGACCTCAAGTGATCCACTGACCTCAGCCTCCCAAAGCGCTGGGACTACAGGCATGAGCCACCACACTCAGCCCTTTATTCATTTTTCTATTTGAATTGGGTGTTTTTGAGATGAAGTCTTGCTCTATCTAACACCCAGGCTGGAGTGCAATGGCATGATCTCGGCTCTCTGCAACCTTCACCTCCTGGGTTCAAGCGATTCTCCTGTCTCAGCCTCCCTCGTAATAAGATTACAGGCGGGTGCCAGCACACCTGGCTAATTTTTTTGTATTTTTGTAGAGACAGGTTTCACCACGTTGGCCAGGCTGGTCTTGAACTCCTGACCTCATGTGACCCACCTGCCTCAGCCTCCCAAAGTGCTGGGATTACAGGCATGAGCCCCTGCACTTAACCTCTTCTTCCTTTTTTCCTCCCTTCCATACACCCGGGTGTGGTGGCACACACCTGTAATCCCAGCTACTTGGGAGGCTGAAGCAGGAAAATCACTTGAACCTGGGAGGCAGCGGTTTCAGTGAGCTAATATCATGCCATTGCACTCCAGCCTGGGCAACATAGCAAGACTCCATCTCAAAAAAAAAAAAAAAAAAAAGAAAAGAAGAAGAAACCTAATGCAGCTGAGAGCACTGGGAGGGCATAGGGAAACTGGACCTTCTCCACCGCTATGGGAGTGCACACTGGCATATTCCCTTTCAAGTTTAATTTTGGCATAATTATCTACTAAAATAAAAATGTGAATTCTACTTACAGAAATTTCTCCTACAGAGCATATATGTGCATAATGAGGTTGTGGAGTATTTTCAGACTGTAGAGTATTTATAGTGGCTGGTGTGTAGCAAAATACTGAACATAATATAAATTCCACCAACCAGTATGAGAATGAATGAGTAATTCACAGTACATACATACAATGAAATGCTAGGCAGTCACCAAAAAGAACAAGGCAGCCCAGTGTGGTGCTAATTAAGGAGCCCAAAACACATCAAAAGAACCAAAGCAAGGCACAGAACATCCTGCATAACAAAGCGACTACACGTGTATCAAACCCAGCCAAATTGAAAAACAATCAAAAAAAACTTCACAAAGCGGTAAGAGGAATTATGCATACTCATGTTTGCTTGATATGCACAGAATTTCCCTGGGAGGATATATAAGAGACTGGTAATAACCACCACGGCATTGTGAGAAGCCAACTGTGCCACGAGGGGAAAGTGGGAGTAGAATGACTTTACTTTGCACTATATATATTTTTAGCACTCTTCAAAATTTTAAAAACATATATGGTACATTATATCTAAAAAGCCTTAATAAAAAAAAGAAACCAAAGTAATCTGAAAAAAGCCTCTTAAGCCAATAGTGCCTTTCACATTAAAAGTGCTTAAAGACACCGAATGAATGAATCAAAACAACGTTAGTGCCAAAGCTAAGCCCAGAGTTAACAGCAAATTCAATTACAAGTATGGTTTTCGTGTTTTGCATGAAACATTTACCCATTAAGAAGAAAAGGATTTGGAATTCAAACCAGAGCCGTCTGTACTCAACATCGACTTTGAGACTACACTGAACGCAAGCCAGGAATGGTAAATATGCTAGTACAACAGAAGCAATGTGCCACTGCGTGACGTTAGGAGATTCTGACATTTCAAAAGGTGTTTCTACATAGAGAAGAAGAAAGAAAAATCAATTCCTCACAGGGCACAAGTAAGTGAGGGAGGATGGATACGATGTTAAAAAAAAAAAAATCAGAGCCGAAATAACTGAAGAGTGCAAACACAGAAAAACAGTCCATTCTCAGGCTATCATCAAAGTAATTTAGGAATCTGTTGGGTGCCTTCAATTTTCTGTGCCCTCCAGAGAAGTTTTTTACAGGTCAAATCATTTTACAATGAACTCCAAGGGACTATATTGAGTATTAGTTGAAATAAGTGAATTAAATTGAGGCTTGGAAAACTGTGTTTCCAAAGAATATTCCAGTCTTCAATAGAATGACCTATTGATGATTTTTAAAAAAATATTGCAGCAAATAAAAAATGACATGGCTTATTAATGGTTCTGAATATAACCAATCATATCATTGCCCCTCTACATAGCCACATGACCACGCTGCTGATGATGGCCAAAGCATGATGTCACCAGGCACTGGATGTCGGGTCTCAACAATACACATGCATTAGCTCAACCTTGATCCCAGCCCTTGGAGACAAGCACTGCTACTGTCCCTGTGCCACAGACAAGGACACTGAGGCACAGAGGATGCAACAATTTGCCTGAAGTTACCCTGAGACCCAGGATCGAGCAGAGCTGCCCATCACGCCATCCCCACGATGTGTATGTCATCAAATCTCTCATCCTGCAGCCACGAATCTATGAAATCAGAGTTGGGCTAGAACTGTATAAGCCATTCCAGCTCAAATAGTCCAAATTCTCTAACCAGTATAAAGAAAAAACTCTCCACTGGCAAGACGTTCTCCTGGAGTATGTAAGTAGATGAGACTTTACTACATGATTACAGAAAATTTACATTTATTCTTCTCTATGTGCCAGGGTCAATGCTTCACACAAATTCAAGCAACAAGGCAAGAATATTTGCTCAAGTTCACAAATAGTAATTGAAAATATATAACTTTTTAAATGGCTACACTGAGTTCTATCTCTGGATGATTTTGTAGGGTTTCTTTAACCGATTAAAAATAATTCTTAGTTTATTCATTTTGAATGAATTCAGGCTTATAATTTCAGATTTATAAAAAATTTGCATGGGCTGGGTGCAGTGGCTCACGTCTGTAATCCCAGCACTTTCAGAGGCCAAGGTGGATCACTTATGGCCAGGAGTTCAAGATCAGCCTGGCCAACATAGTGAAACCCTGTCTTAACTAAAAATACAAAAATTAGCTGGCTGTGGTGGCAGGCACCTGTAATCCCAGCTACTCGGGAGGCTGAGGCAGGAGAATCACTTGAATCTCGGAGCTGGAGGTTGCAGTGAGCTGAGATCATGACAGAGTGAAACTCCATCTCAACAAAAAAAAAATTTTTCATAAAAAGTATAAGAAGTTTTCATATACCCTTCTCTCAGCTTCTCCGTATGTATTATCAATTACCAAAACCATAGTATAATTATCAAAACTGGGAAGTTAACACTAATTCAATACTATTGATTAATCTACTGACCTTATTCAAATTTCATCAACTGACCTGTTAATGTCCCATTTCCAAACTAGGATCCAATCCAGGACTACATGTTGTATTTTGTTGCCATGTCCCCTTTAATCTGGGTAGTTCTTTAGTATTTGTCTTTTATAACCTTAATACTTTCCGAAAATACTGGCCAGTTATTTTGTAGAATGTCCCTTGATTTGGGTTTGTCTGGCATTTCCTCAAGACCAAATTCAGGTTACGCATTTTTGGCAAGAAGGAATGCGTCCTCCACAGTACATTGTATCAGGAGGCACGTGAGGTCAGAATTTCTCATTACTGGTGATGGTGGTGACTGCTAGGCTTCCTGACTGGAAAGTTACTGCTTTTCCCTTTGTAATTAAAAAGTATCTTGTGCAGGGATACTTTCAGACTATGTAAATAACTGCTTCTCTCCCCCTACCCCCAACACACTGTCATCCACTCATTTTAGTATCTATGATAATTCATGCCTGAAACAATTGACTGTGGCATTTGCAAAATGATTTCCTACTTCTATCATTTCTACATTTATTAGAATTCTACCATAAAGAATTCTACCTTCTCCTTCATTTATTTGTATCGGTTTGGACTCATAGATATTTTGTTTTCGTTTATGGACTGCAATACAACACAATTCTAATTTAGTCACTCAAATATCAGGTAGGCTAGATATACCACTAATTTTGTATATCCAAACCGAGAAAAACAGTAATCGATTAACTTTTGTCTGTTTTTTGCACTCCCCTCACTTTCTATTTCCACTCTTACCACTTCCTCTCAGTTGTGAATAATGAGGGCTATATTTGTGGGATCCTGGGCTGGTGTTTGAAATGAAGCCTCTGCCCAGGGTCACAGCAGTTAACTGGCCTCCTAGGGAACGCAATCCAGGCAACTAACTTAACATGTTTCGCAACTAAAGATAAATTCTGGATAATCTCAAAAATGAAGCAGCCCAACTTGCCATAATATTAATATTTCAGCTAAATGGGTGCTTATTTTCATATTTACTGTTCATGGGAAACCACTGTTTTAAATATGAAGTTCAGCCTTCTTGGTCAAAGAAAACACCACATTGGAACTTAGAATAGGTTAAAATTTAATGCTTTATATAAAACACAAACTCAAGCATAAATGGGTAGCTGAAAAATCAAATCACCTTCGACTCTGAGTGATCATTCTGTAAAAGGTCCCATGTTAGGTACTGTAGAAAACACAGACACTAGTCCCTATTACAGCACAGGAGCAAGTAATTAACCTTCACTGTGTCTTCACACAGAGTAAGAAGTTTGGTCTCTGCGGCCAAAGAGAACGGAGGCAGAAATCTAGTTTCACCACTCCATGTTGCATGGCCTTGGTTATTTAACTTTCCTAAGACTCTGTATTCCTCTGTAAAATCTGGATCACAGTAATACCTATAATGCGGTGGGGGAGAGAGCAGTTAAAGATTTAAGAAGGTAGCACAGGCAAAGTGTCATGCCTGACACGGGGAGCATTTTACAAAGCATTTTACTATTATACTTACTACGACAACTGTGAAGTATATTTATGCTACTCTAGGCATAGTCTCTAGATACAACACATTTATGTAATAAATAAATTAAAAGGAGGTGAAAAAATACGAAGTGAAAACAGATCCTTTTAGTCCTTGTATTTCTGTTATGGTTCAGTTTGACGGCTGCTTATGCACTAAGAGCAATGACAGAAAAATACATTTTATACACACCTGTATTTTTGATTTCATTGCTTGAAGGGACTGGACCACAGGGATGCAATAGGCAAGAGTTTTACCTTTCAAAAAAAAAAGCAAAAACAGTTAAAAATCACACACCCTACCGATGTAAGAAAAGCAAAGACTGCAATGAAAACAGCTCTGCTATCTTCCAGTAGCACTAAATTCAGGGGAAAGGAAGCTGCTCATTATACACCAAGAGAGGTGAAAAGAACTTCCTTCCAGTCTACCACCAATCCCAGTTCTGCTTTGTAAAATCTGTACTTCTAAAAACTAGAAGCCTCAGTTCCTTTATTCATCTAACGAGAGAGAACGATACGTTCTCCCAAATTACACAGAAGCTCGACTTGATGGCTGTCTGTAGGAGCCAGAAAATTCCTCCTCTGAAGTCCTCCCTACCCTCTCAGATGAGCTTCAGTGGTCAATTCCATCTCCTCTGCAGTGCTGACGTGACTGGGAGCCAGTCTGTACTCTAGAGCTAATCTCTAATGATGGAAAAACCAACAGATGGCAAAAACTTTAGGTCTCCAGCCTTCTGAATGGTGGCCGAGCTGGTGGGAGCAAAGGATAGCTGACCAGCCGAGGGCACACAAGGGTCAAAACAGCAAGTCCAGACTGGCCTGGAACACGCAGAAACAGCATTCTGTCCTTGAGCACAACTGGCATCTGATCAGCATATGCTCAGGCCAGAAATCCCTCTGTGTTTAATACCAGCAGAAAACATTCATTCTCCACTAGAGGGAGGATGGGCAGCTCTGGCCACAAAGTGTGGGACTTGGTAAAGCCCCGAAATAGGCACTGAGGAAATTAGAGCCGAACTTGACTACTTCCCAATCATTCCTCATTGTGGCACCATCAACTGCCCCTTCCTTTTATTATGTGAACATATTCAGGGCTCTAATCAAAAGCAAGCATGGCCTCCCTCCCCCAAACGAAACAAAATTGCCGCCACCATCAACCCAGACACCTCGCGGCAAAACCTACTGCAGGACCATGGGCCTGAGCAGAGGAAGAAGGGCAGAGATGAAATGAGACTAACCTGAGCCCGTCTGGGATCTCACGAGAGCATCTCTGCCTTCCAGCAACACAGGAATACTTTGCTTCTGAACACTGGGCCACCCGAAAAAAAGAACACACCTTATTTATATTATCCAGTTACAGATAGAAATGCAGGATACATAAAAGGCAACTGCCCGCACTAGGATTCATCTAGACAGCCACCTTAGAAGTTACTGAAGCATTCAAAAACAGGTACAAAAAGACTTTTGATGATTAGAAAGCTCAAACCCTAGTTACATTTCTGGAACTTAGCCTGAAAATGGTGAGGCAAGCCAGAGACTGGTCATTCTACTAAACCAATTCTTTTCAAAATGGAACAGGTGGCCAGGCGGGGTGGCTCACACCTGTAATCCCTGAATTTTGGGAGGCTGAGGCGGGTAGATCACCTCAGGTCAGGAGTTTGAGACCAGCCTGGCCAATACAAAGAAACCCTGTTTGTACTAAAAATATAAAAAATTAGCGAGGCATGGTGGCACACGTCTATAATCCCAACTACACGGGAGGCTGAGGCAGGAGAATTGCTTGAACCTGGGAGGCAGAGGTTGCAGTGAGCCGAGATCATGCCACTGCACTCCAGCCTGTGAAACAAAAGCAAAACTCCGTCTCAAAAAAAAAAAAAAGGAACAGGCATGATGACAAATCAGAGTTACCACAAAGTTTATCACACACTCTCTTGCTATCACTAACAGAAATATGAAGCACAATGGAAAGGTTTCCATGCCAGATAGCAGGAGGAAGCACGCCAGCTATTCAGAGAGCCAGCAGCTCTCTGGATTCTCCAGGGAAAGGTTACTGGACATGCTGAGATGTGTGTCTACACATGTATTTTAAACCAAGAACCAAAAGAGACACAAAAATCACTTAAATTTGGTTGATCAAACAAACAAAAAAACTTGTGGGGAGGTTCCTTAAGTCTTTAATATTTTTATTAATTTTTACTAATCAAAGTAAAAGATCATTATTAAAATGCACAGAAACCGTCTCAAAAAAATAATGCACAGAAGCACAAATACTCAAAACAAGGAAGCTCATCTCCCCACACCTTTCACTTCTTTATTTTCCAAGAGTCATTCCCAATAGCAAACACTGAAAACATTTTTTCAGTATCCCATTCTATCCAACGGAACGTTTACTCTTGACCTTTTGGTTGACCCTAATTCTTACTACTAAGAAATGACATGGTCGCATCCTATATTTTGGCCAAATTCTTCTCAGGGAAGCACAGAAAACAGTGGAGCTCATGCAGCCCACTTTCTGCATAAGACATCTCTTGCAGTTCAGAGCCAAGGGCAGAACTGGATGGAAAGCCGGTCTTTCCATTTAACAGGTGGAGAGAATGAGTAGCTAAGTGAGATGACAACCCTTTATGGTCAATAACCTGGTGCTTGCTGTTTTCTAACACCAAGACACAAATCTGGTCTGCCTTGCACAGACATGTTTCATGTGGTTATACCCACTTAAAGCCTAAGAAATCAAGTTAGCATGAACTTCTTACCTGGTCATACTAGACATTTTTAAGACCGTATTTATTGTGGAAATCTAAAAGAGAAGAAAAAACTTTAATATTTTGATACAAAATATTTACTGGAAATTACACAAAAAAGGAGAAACTGTTGCGATGACACTGGCTACTATGATCAAACTAAGTGCCTCCACCCGGGTGGTGCTCTCTACCTGGGGTGATTCTGCCACCCACCCTAACTCCCTGGGGACACAGGCAATGTCTGGAAAAATTTTGCTTGCCATAACCAGGGGAGGGGGACACTACTGGCATCTAGTGGGTAGAGGCCAGGGATGCTGCTAAACATCCTACAATGCACACGACAGTCCCCAAAACTAAGAATGACCTAGTCTAGAATGTCCACAGCACCAAGTCTGAGAAACCCTGTTCTAGCCTGCAGGTGAGAAACAAGCTTAGGTAACCTACCGTGAAGGGGTAGGCTGTAACCATGCAGGCAGAGGAAACCAAGCCTGCCTAAAAGTTAATACATATGTATACATACAGATTTTTTATGCATGAGTCTGGAGAACTCACTTTTTTCCTTTAAAGTGACTGTGTGATTATAGAACACACACTAAAATACTCTTCTTCCCCCACTTCCCTAAAACTGTAGATGTCCCTTAACAGCAAGATGCCAGCACAGTTCCCTCTCCTATGGTCACTGTGACATCTGCCACCACAAATGGCTTCACCACCACAGCTATCCAGTAAACAGGAAGCTGTTTAAAGTTTAGCAAGTGACATCCTGATCCTAAATTGTATTAGCCAAGGAAAGTCTTCAGTACTTTAAAAAAAAGAAAAACCTGGAGGTGGGGCCGGTGGGGGCCAGAGAGCAGTCAACAGTGAACTAGGCACCCCTGAACTGCCCTGAAAGAGTATCATATCAATCTGAGTTCATTCAGGTCACTTGGAGCAGAAACAAACTGTCTCCGATTTCTCTTCCTAGAACTGCCATTTTACAGACCTTCTGAATGGACAAACACACCAAAAAAACTGACCCACAAAACACTGAAAGGTACACTTACTAAATGTGGGTGGAGGCCCAGTTCATGAAAAGCAGCTGAAGTAAACACTTTTTCTTGCACCTGCTTTACTACAGATCTGCAAATGATGAACAAAAACCCAGCATCAGTTCCAACAGGAACAAAGAACAAGCAGAACAGCTTCTTCTTTTCCCTGAGGGGCATCTGCCCTGGACATACCTGTGGAGTTCTGGAATGTCAGGGTTGTTTTTAAACAGTGATGAAGTCTTAACGCACGGTCTCTCCTCTTGGTTTCTGTCACTCGTGCTAACCGAGTGCTTCTTCGCAGAAAATGCTTTCTGTGTGTTCCCCTTAAAAGTCCCTTGAGTTTCTTTAACACTAGTTTTCTTGGCTGGGAGAAATGAAGTTTCGTTTCTCCGTTTCACTGGGGGAGCCTCACTGGACGCTTGGTATTTTCTTTTCGTAGCCTTTGCTTGCTGCGTTGTTCCCAGAAGAAAAGATCAACAAGATATGCATTAGTCCATGAAGACAGAGCTCGGAGTGAAGCCTGACTGCCCACAGAATTGCATCTCTCCCTGCAGAGATCATTATGCCCCATATGTCAAGCAACAGTTTAGGGTTTGCAACCAGACTCTTGGACTCAGCTTTTTCCAAAAAGTAAAAAAAAAAAAAAAAAAGGAAGTAGAAAAAAGAAAAAAAATCTCAGCTCACACATCTACCAGACCTCACCATCCATCTTCACTGTTAAATCAATCAAGATGAAGGTTAAGGATAAAGAAGAAACATTTTTCCAGTTGAATGTTAACTAACGGAGTCTGTTTTAAGGGCAGCAAGAATGTACCTTGTGAAGGGTGTGTCAATCCATATTCGTAGGAATCCATTTACCCAAAGAGAAAAGCGGGGCAGGGAAAAATGAATCTCTTCTCTCCACCAACAAAGCACACTGGGGACTGCGCAGGAGAGGACAAGTGGGATGCACCTCCCAGCCGGTGCCCAGGAAGCGGAAACCTTCATTCCCATTCTACCCCAGTGCTTGGATCTGTCATTCTCTCCTCTCAAGCTGCTCCTCCAGATTCAGATAGTCTGGAGAAAATTCCTACTCCCTGTTCCCACTCCAAATGAGAATGCCGCTCCATCCATCACCTCTATCAAAATTACTTCCTACCTTCCTTGCCTTTCAAGTCTCTGAGCCCCTGCCTGATTGCCGATTACAGGCTACACAACACTAAGAATCTCTGGCCTGTTGTTTCTTATTTCCATTATGTGAATGTGGTTAAATGCATGATGTCCAAACTTCCCCTAGGAGAAGAAACATCCAAATCCCCTATTTTCTTTGGCCTTCTTTTCTGATTTACAAATGAATATAAAAGCATCCCTTGAGTAGCCAGTGCTTGTTATTCTGGAGTTTTGGATTCTCTCAGAATATGTTATTTTCCCCTTTGCTTGAAATAATGACTTGGTTTTTACATGTCGGCTTTCCTTAGCCATGACCCTCGGCTTCAGACTAACCCACCAGTAATGACACTTCTTTGTTCCATAAGGATTTCTTTACCTAAGTAATTAAATACAACTTCAAACATTTAATATTAATAAAGCAAAAACTGATGTATTCCATCTTACTAATTTATTTTTACGAAGTCCCAAGTTTATGAATTTTCAGATTACAGAAAGAAATGACATCAAGTTCCAGGTTTGTTGAACCATCTGCAAGACAGTATGAAAAGTGCAGACTTCACCTGATTTACAGACTCAGGACTCCTGGAGCACAAAAATTCCTAAAGGCCACTCCCACCATGCATGCAATTCCTATGACAGGTCCTGGGCAGGTGGACTTGCAGCCTCTCCCTGCACACGTCCGGCATTCCATGAGGTAGCGCATTCTGTTCATGACCAATTCTAGGAATTAGGAACCTATTTCTGACATTTACGCAAGATCCGCATCCTTCAAACCTAAGTCTAAGGTAGACTTTCTGCAGCGACGCCCAACAAGCTTACTTCCTCTTACACCTAACATTTCCTCTTATATCACATAACTCTCTTTTCTTTCTTCTTTGGACCCAATATTTCAAATAGGACAAAGTTTAGATCCCTTATCATCTTGGTCACCCTTTATTCCTATGTCAACATCTCTTTAAAAACAAGTACTCAGAGTTAAAACACATTAGGTTTTCCATTGCTCTTAGGCTAAAATAAAAAATATGTAATATTGTCAGGTGCCATGGCTCATGCCTGTAATCCCAGCACTTTGTGAGGCTGAGGTGAACTGACTGCTTGAGGCCAGGAGTTCAAGACCAGCCTGGGCAACATAGTGAAACTCGGTCTCTACAAAAAAATTTAAAAATTAGCTGGGTATGGTGGTACATAACTGTAGTCCCAGCTACTTGAGAGGCTAACTTGGGGGGAATCACCTGAGCCCAGGAGGTCAAGGCTGTATTGAGCCATGATGATGCCGTGATGCCACTGCTCTCCACCCTAGGCGACAAGTAAGACCCTGGCTCAAATTTTTTGTAAAAAGTCTGTAATAGATCCACAAAACCCTCTAGAATCTGACCACTGCCCATCTCACCAGCTTCAGCTCTGCTCTCTGCCACTCTGGTCTTCCTGAAATCCCTAGAATGTACTGTTCCTTCTACCTCCTTTGCACATGCTACTCCCACACCCAGGACTCCACTCTGCTCCCTGGCTGCCACCCAATCTCATCCTTCAGATGGAGGCTCACCAACTCCTTCCTCAGAAGAGCCTTTCCTGACCTCTCTTCACCCAGTCAAGCCAAAATGCCCTGTTCTTGGCTCTCCTGGCACCCTTATTCTTCTCCATGGCATTTGGCAAAATAAAAAGCATAGCATGGAGCTCACTGCTTCATGTCTGTCTTTCCCATTAGATTGTAAGCGCCACAAGAAAGGGAACAGTCTGTCCTATATAGCACTGTATCCCCTATACAGGCCCATGTGTGGCAGAATAAGCACTCAACAAATACTTGTAAGGTGAATGAGTAACATACATGGAATTATCCCTTCCCACCAGCTGGATACAATTTAACTATTCCCAGCATCCACAACACATTCAGTCAGCACTTGTCAAGAAGCTTGGTTCTGAAGATACAAAGTAGAAAGATTAGCCAAGCCCTTGAGAAAGTCACACAGTAGCAAAGGAGACAAAAGCATAAAGGCATAAATCCAACCTCTACATTGGTGCTACAGAACAGGTGTGTACAAGAGGCTCCCGGAGCAGCGGAAAAAGCTAGAGTGACATGCACTGCAGCAAAGGAGAGGGAGGCAGGAAAAGCAAGAATGCTTCCTGAGGTGGCATCTGAGCAGAGGGAGCAAGGACGTATCTGGATCCACTGAAAATTAGTAGTGCAACATTAAGCAAGTCACTTCCGCCTGGGTCTCTGTTCCCACACCTGTAAAACAAGGGGATTTTGGCAGATGACCTCTAGGGCCCATCTGGCCCTGAGTTTAAGACGCCAGGCCTCCGACATTAATAAACATACCGAGTAGCTACTACAGGCCAAGAAGTATGCTAAGTACTCACATGTATTCTCTCATTAGCAACACAGGTACTGCTGTCATCTCATTTTAAGATGAGAACATGGAGGCAGAGATGTGAGGTAATTTGCCCCAGAATCACTGAAGGAACCAGGCTCTGTTTCCCTAGGCACTGTGATTCTATTCCAGCATCTTCATGACAATACTATAGCGCCTTTTATTAACCGTATCCTCTTCGCTGTAGAAAACATCATGTGTAGTCTGATTTCCATTTTGAGTTGTTCTCTAGAAGGACATACACTAAATGGCAACAAGCATTGTCTCTGAGTATGGCAGTTATAGTTATGGGTGGGTTTTAAAAAATGCTTTTTCCAAATTTTCTAAGATAAATTTCTATTAATAACCAGAAAGTTGGCCTGTGCCGTCGTCATTTGGGGAGAAGCAAGGTGGCCTCCACGCTTCCCCAGTGTCTTCTTCGCTTCTGCCTCGACCTCTCCTTGACCACAAGCTATCTCGGGATCAGTTCCGGGGTTCCGGGGTCCCGGCGGCGGCCTCCACGACTTCCATTCCCCACCGCCCGGCATGGGCCTCAATCAGAACGCAGCCCCCTGGCTCTCCGAGGCCGCCCCCGCCTCCACCAACAGCAGCCACAGCCGCCGCCGCCCCCGCCGCTGCCGCAGGACTCTTCCAAGTCCACCGATACTCAGGGACCCAGCCCCCTCACTGAGAGGGCAGCGCGCCGCCTGCCCCTCAGCCAACCTCGGGGGCCCGCCAGGGTCTGGGCCAGAGCCAAGCCCGACTCCCACCCAGACCCCGCTGCCTGCAGTCACCTCAGGCCCCCTTCCCCCGGGGACACCTTCACCCACCCCTCCAAGCAGCAGGGACCCTACCACTCCTCCGCCCTTGGGCCTATGCAGGGTCCAGGCCTAAGCACTCCTGGCAGCCACCACAAGACACCGCATCAAGGGGGGGGGGAGGCGGCGCCAACACCACCCACCCTACCACCAGCAGCACCACAGGGGCCCTACTTGGAAGGGTTTAAAGCCAACTTGTCTCTCTTGAGGAGGCCTGGCGAGAAAACTTACAGCGATGTGGGTTGTTTTTTGGGAATCCACCTGTGATAATCTGTATCACAGAGGATGAATTCAAAAGACTATTTGTTAACTATGGAGAGCCAGGAGAAGTTTTTATCAACAAAGGCAAAGGATTTGGATTTATTAAGTTTGAATCTAGAGCTCTGGCTGAAATTGCCAAAGCTGAACTCGATGATACACCCATGAGAGGTAGACAGCTTCGAGTTCGCCTGGCTCCACACCCTACTGCCCTGTCTGTTCCTAATCTTTCACCTCATGTTTCCAATGAACTGCTGGAAGAAGCCATTAGCCAGTTTGATCCCATTTGTTATAACAGGGGATGATCGTGGAAGATCTACCAGGAAAGGCATTATTGAATTTGCTTCTAAACCAGCAGCAAGAAAGGCATTTGAACAAAGCAGTGTTTTCTTGCTGACAACTCCTTGTCCGGTCATTGTGGAACCACTTGAACAATGAGACGATAAAGATGGTCTTACTGAAAAACTTGCACAGAATAACCCAATGTACCCAACCAAAGGAGAGAGAAACCTCTCCTCGTTTTGCCCAGTGTGGCATGTGGGAGTATGAATATTCTCAGCGATGGAAGTGTTTGGACATGAAATGGAACAACAGCAAAGAGAACAAGCTGAAAAGAAACAGGAAGGATGCAAAAGACAAACTGGAAAATGAAATGGAAGATGCCTACCATGAACATCAGGCAAATCTTTTGCACCAAGATCTGAAGAGACGACAGGAGGACTTAAGACACATGGAAGAACTTCACAATCAAGAAATGCAGAAATGTTAAGAAATACAATTGAGGCAAGAGGAGGAACGATGTAGAAGCGAGGAAGAGATGATGATTTGTCAACGTGAGATGGAAGAACAAATGAGGCACCAAAGAGAGGAAAGTTACAGCTGAATAGGCTACACGGATCAAAGAGACATGAGAACGGATGGCAGAGGAGAAACAAACATGGGAGGCTGTGGTTCAGGAGGCCAGAAAGCTCCACCTTTAGGTGGTGGTGGCGGCATAGGTTCTGAAGCTAATCCTGGAGTTCCACCAGCAACCATGAGTGGTTCCAGGATGGGAATTGACTTGTGTACTGAGCGCCTTGGGCAGGGAGGTGCGGGGCCTGTAGGTGGCCAGGGTCTTAGAGGAATGGGCCTGGAACTCCAGCAGGCTACGACAAAGAGAGAGGAGTACAAAGGCCCAAACAAAAAACCCCAATTTTAGATGTCATATCTATGCTTTCATTCCAGTTTGTTTCATTCCAGTTTGTTTTATCCTTTGTTTAGATACCAATCTTTTAAATTCTTGCATTTTATTAAGAAAGCTTCCTTTTTATGGATGTTAGCAGTTTATTGACCTAATATTTGTAAATGGTCTGTTTGGGCAGGTAAAATTATGCAATGCAGTGTTTCAAACAGAATTTTTTTTCCTTTTTATTTCCTCTTTTTTAAAAAAACTTTATAATATCCTTCAAGTTATGACAGTGTACCTTGGGCCACTGAATTTCCAAAGTGTACCAATTTTTTTCTTTTACTGTGCTTCAAAGAAATAAAAAATTATTATAATATTGATCTTCAACTTTGCCATTCACGCTTCTATGCATATTAGGCTATCTATTCTACATTGAAAGCATAAGAGTGTCTAGGCCTTTGAATGGCTTATGCCATTTCTGGGAAATGTATCTGGAGGCTAAGCATTGCTTTCTACAAATAACTGCCCCCTTTGTTTTAAAAAGAATTGCATTTGAAGTAGTTTCATGATTTGCTTGCCATTATAGGAAGCATGCTGGTGCTAAGTATTTTTAAATGGTTACGTAGCAAAGCTGAACTGTAAATCTTCATTCAGGAATATGTATTAAGATTGTGGAATGGGAGTAAGACAATTGGTAGGGGGTGAAAGTGGGTTTGATTAAACAGATATTTTATGGCCCATGAGCTATCCTTTTTATCCTTGAAAGCTTTTGAAAAGTGGAAAGATCATTTTGTTGCATTTCCCCATTTGTTTTTAAAAGATCAACAAATCTCAAGCCCTATAAATGGATTATATTGAACTTTTACATTTGAACTAAAGATTGTTCAGCATGAAAAAAAAAATCAGAAAATTTTTTTGTTTTTGTTTTTTTGAGACAGAGTCTGACTATGATGCCTAGGCTGGAGTGCAGTGATCTCAGTTCACTGCAACCTTCCCTGGCTCCTGGGTTCAAGTGATTCTCATGCCTCAGCCCCCTGAGTAGTTGGGATTACAGATGCCCACCACCATGCCCAGCTAGGTTTTTTTTTTTTTTTGTATTTTTAGTAGAGATGGGGTTTCACCATGTTGGCCAGGCTGGCCTTGAACTCCTGACTTCAGGTGTTCTGCCTGCCTCGGCCTCCCAAAGTTCTGGAATTGCGGGCGTGAGCCACCACACCTGGTCTAGAAAGTATTTTTGGAGAGAAAATTTCTGCATAGTGTTAGATATAGCATAATTTAAGCTGTCAGTTTTTCTAAATCCAGTATATTAGCTATCCATTCCAAGCTCAGGCTGCTGGCAAGTCTCATCAGCATATCTATCATTCTCATTCATGACATCAATGAAAACGTGGATAAAGACAAGGCCACTGCATCATCTGATTAATTAATCCCCTTTTGATAATCATGAAACTAGGTACCCTACATGTATTTACTCCATGCTCCTTATGTGTTAGTTACTAGGCTCTGCACAGGACACAAGCACCCCACTAACCTCCTGACGTAGCAATCTATTACCCAAAATTGAGCTAACACTCCTTTATGTTGTTGGCATTTATTAAGTGCCTCTGTGGGCCAAAGTATAGTCTTTATGTACATTATCTCATTGAATCCTTATAATTACCTTATATGAAGTAGAAATGATTGTTCTCTTTTTATAGCTAGGAAAAGTAAGAATCAGAAAGATTAAGCAACTTCCCCCTAGGGTCACAGAGCTAGTGTGCAGCAAGGGTAGTATCCAAGGTCTATGCTATTCCAAATCCCATGCTCCCAGTGGCTTCTCTATCCTTCTCTGCCCTCCTCCTTGATGCAGCTACACCATTGGCTGGCTGGACTCGTTACTGCCAAGCATCTCAATCTTAAAGTATGATGATCACTTTATGATTTTACATGACCTTTTCTATCCTGTAGTCCTCTTTTCTATGAGACAAATCATCCTAGAAACTTAGTTAAGTTCTCAGTTCTTGAAAGTTTTCAGTTCTTGCTTAAGTTAATTTTAGGGCATCTTTCCCCTTTCTAGCTACGGGATTATATCAATGAATGTATTTTCCTTTCCCCCTCCATTGCACGTGGATGAAAATCTGTCCCATTTCTGAAAGCTCTTCAAGAAACTCCTAGCTGTCAGTCCTCATTCCCGAAACAAATGAATATAAGCAGCCATGGCCATTACATTGCCCTCTGGAGATCCTAAGAACATGTGCTCAAGGTGGTCAGGGTGCGACTCGGTTTTATACATTTTAGAGAGGCATGAAACATCAATCAAATACATTCAAGAAATACATTGGTTTCGTCCCAAAGTGTGGGGGGAGGGGAGGTTCCAGGCTATGAGTAAATTTAAACATTTTCTGGTTGACACTTAAGGTTGAGTTTGTCTAAAGACCTAGGATGGATAGAAAGAAAATGCTCAGGTTAAGATAAAAGATTGTGGAGACCAAGGTTCGTCTGAAGTCCTCAGTGGCTTCCCTTAGAGACAACAGAGGATAAATGTTTCCTTTGCAGATATCTGAAAGGTGGTAGACTCCTAATCGATTTAGGATTAGGAGGGCCTGGAAGAAAAAGATCTAGCTATGTTAATAGAGATCCTTTACAGATGCAAAATATTCCCCCACAAAGAACAGCTTTGCTGGGCCATTTCAAAATACGGCAAAGAAACATGTTTTGGTGTAAAATATTTTGACTTTCCTCTTTGTCATATAATGTTAGGCCAGAGTCAGGTTGCAAAATAAGTCACGATATATAGGGTTCAATGAAACCAATCTGATGAGAATTCATGGTTTGTAGGGCATGACTCTCCAGACCCGTTGGGAATCTGGACAAGATTAAAAAAAAAAAAAAAAAAATCAGAGGTTAGTCCGCACTCGGTCGAGGAAACTGGCTTACAGAAGTTAAGCCTTAACCTGGGACTCGCGCCGGAGGATCAAGTCCTACTTTCCACGGCAAACAGTCTGCAATTCCTTCCTATACTTTTCTAGGCGCAGACCCAGCTCCCCGCCCCTCCACACCGCTCCACTCCCTCACTCTAGGCGCATCCCAGCGGGTAGTGTTCCGGTTAGAGACACGTGTTTCGGCGCAACTCCTTCTGAAGCTGCCGAAGAGTCTGACTTTCTCCCACTTAACTCCGTAAAGTACTCGAAAGCCAACCCCGAGTCACAGCTGCATCCCGGCGCGCCGAGAGCCGGACCGCGGGTGGGGACCGAGCTGAAACCAGGTCAGAACTCACCCGACTCGCCTGGGCTGGGAGGCGTCTGGAGAACGTCCTGGGGTTGTCCAAGAGCGAACCGTCGGCGGCTGCCATGACCTGCGTGGAGTACGCGTGCAGTGGCGCACCGGGTGTGCAGACGGCCGGGGCCAGGACCCAACGTGGGACGCGCGAGGACCCCGCGCGACTGCCCCGCCGAGTCCTGCGCCGCAGCCTCTTCCGGGTCCGGAACGGCTCCAATTGTACCGACCCACCCCGAAGGGAGCCAGAAACGGCGGCAGCGGGCGGATAGGGGCGAGCCGGGGGCCCAGGCCCCCGCCGGTGGTAACCCCGCTCTGCGTACCTCGCGGCCTGGCAAAATTACATTCGGCCGAGAGTTCTCGCTAGGGAAGTTCTCTGAATGCCTCCGAGAAAAAAGGGCCGGTTCCATCTCACTGAAGAATTCCCCCTTTGCCGCCGCGTGCGTTTCCTCAGCACCTTAGGAACTAAAGCCTAACTCGTGCGAATTGTGGCTTGAGCTCAATCCCTGGGCAAGAGAAAGGGGATCCTCGGGGTTCCCGGCTCGCGGCCCTTTTCTGGACAGGCAGCTCCTTGGACACCTGGCTGGGCCGCGTTGCCTGGCAACGGTGGGGTCCTTCTTGGCTCCGCGGCGCTTGGGGCCTGAGGGTAGAAAACCGCCGCGAAGGGCGCTGGGGGTGGGGGTGGTGGCGTTGGTGCGGGAGGTGGCCGCGTGACGGCTACGCGGGCTTGGAGCGCCTGGGCGTCCGACCTCTGCACCTGAGAGAAGATGGACACGGCCGACCAAACCCTAGTGGGGCCCGCGGACGATGGGCCTGCGCCGCCCGAAGAGGAGGAGGGAGAGGGGGGCAGCGAGGCGGGCAGCGAGGCAGGCGGGAAGGAGCCGGGAGCGGACGCGGCCCCGGGGCCCAGCGCTGCATTCCGCCTCATGGTGACTCGGCGGGAGCCGGCCGTGAAGCTGCAGTATGCGGTAAGCGGTCTGGAACCGCTGGCTTGGTCCGAGGACCACCGCGTGTCGGTGTCCACGGCCCGCAGCATCGCTGTGCTGGAGCTTATCTGCGACGTGCACAACCCGGGTCAGGACCTGGTTATCCACCGCACCTCGGTGCCTGCCCCTCTCAATAGCTGTCTCCTCAAAGTAAGTCATCCCCCGCCAGCCCTGTGGGGTCTCCCTCTGTACCCCTCGCCGCCGCTTCATCTGTCCCAGGGGAATCCCGTTCCACACTCGGTCGGGGGATTTCCCTTTTCCCATCCAGCGCTGGGGATTAAGCAGCTAGGGTTGCCACAGCTTTCAAAAAAAAAAAAAAAAGAAAAGCTCTGCAGCTGTTTGCACCGTTTCCCCAGGTCACCCGCCGCCCCAAACACAGGTACACACCCAGGAGGGCTTCCCGGAGTTGGGTCCCGCCAACCTCCTTCGCCCGCACACGGAGGGGGTTACTCGGTGGTGCTTTCTGAGACTCCACCCCCTGTGGATCCAACACCGGACCTGCCTTGGTCGTCGCTCCTATTGTCTGGGGCCGACTTTCTGAGGTTCTTGGCTGGCTTTGTTTACTGTGTGTGCCCTCCTCTCGCGCCTCTTTCACTTCAGAGAAGAAAAACTGGTCCTATTCATTGTCTTAACTGTTTCAGTGACTTTATTATGAATGGTTCTCGCCTCTCACCTTGGGCAGACGGGTAAATACTGGATCTCCGGGTTTGTACTCTAGTTTTTCTTGACTAGCTAAACATCTTTGCGATGTAGAATGAAAATAAAGACTCGAAACAACTGCATTTCTTAAACTTCAAGCGCAAGGTCAAGTAGTAAGCCATAGCGTTCCTTATAGTTCCTTTTAGCGTTCCTTTAGTTGCTTAGAGATGTAAAAACTTTTCCATATATCGTTGATAGAGGTGTACGCTTATATGTCATCTATCAAAGTGTACATACAGTCATTAGATATTTGAATACTACTATGCTTGGCGCTGCCCCATGTTCTGGAAATAAAGCAGTGTACAAAACAGAGCCCCTGCCCTCATGAAGCTTACATTCTTTGGCAAGTCAAAAACAAATGATAAAGTACTGTCAGGTAGTGATAAGCACTGTAAAGATTTGTATCCATATACAGAGAACATGTTTATGTGTTCGTAACTCTTATTCAGGACAGCCATTTAAAATATGAGTCACTAGCTGTAGGTAGGGTGCACATAACCCTTATCATTTTTTAGCATACTTAATTCAAGTTTAAAACAGGTTGATGTTGTTAGATAGTTAGCTTGTATGACTAAGCTTTGTCTGAGATCTTTTTGAAGGAGATATGACCACATTTGTTCAAGTGTAAACACACCAGATAGATGCATCTCTATGAAATTGAGAAACATACATGGAGCTAGGCAGAAGAAAGGTGATGTAAAAGGTGTATTTTCCGCTGAAATGGAACTTAACTGTTTCCAAGGATGTTTATACGCACATCAACTCAGGGAAAGTATGTGTGTCAGTATGGTAGAGATCGAATACTGTAGCGGAGAGAATGTAAAGAAAGGAGGGAATAGTGAGAGGAGGGACTTTTATGGTGCAGGTCATCTGGTGGTGAATCTGGAGCAGTCCTAAAGAGGTTGTGTTTGGCTTGTAAGGGGAAGGGAGGAGAGGGCATTCATCCCATGTGCATACGTGTTTAAATCATGACCATAATTTACTATTGTTTGTGTAATGATGGATCAGTACATGAGCTCAAGTAGCTCTTCCAGAGAGTCAGAAAGTAACATGAGGCCAGTTTATGAACTTGGAAGGTCGGTATGAGGAAGTTGACTTCAATCTAGGAAGCCCTTAAGATGCTGTTATGGTTTTCATTAGCATAGCATGACCTGTTATGGTTCAGGAACATGAATCTGGCTGGATAGAGTCACGAAGATGATTGATGGGATCAGTGTAAAATAGAAGTTAAGAGATTGGGCTTTGGCACAAGGTAGGCCAATTTTTAAAAGGGAGATAATGAAACCTTGTTTAGGCTTTTTAGAAGATTAAATATACACAATCACTGGGCACAGTTCTTGGCACACTGTAAATGCTCAAGGTGAAAGTATTATGCAGTTATACAGGCATGAAGGAGTAGGAGTCTGAGTTAATGTTGTGGTTGTGCACAGGAAGATATCCCTAGTATTCTGATAAAATTTTGACTGTCATTTTTCCTCACTTGACATTTACCACAACATCTAACTAGTAACAGGAAATCCTTATATAGCCCTCTTACAGTTGACAAATGACTTCCAGGAAATTAATTCGTGACATTTTCCCCTTCTGTACTATGGGTTTTTAAAATATATGCACATCACATAAACCATCAATCATTTAGCAGTCTTATTAGACTTTGATTGCGAAGTGAATGAATGCTGAGTTGTTTCTGCAGTTCTACAAGAGTCCTCTGTGGAATAAAACTCTGGTATGGCGCTTTGATGACTCCACTCATTGACAGTTTGTGGATTTCAGTCTTTTCGGTGCTGTGCAGCGTGCATTCCAGCTGACCTAAACAGTGGACAGTCTGCAGCGCAGATCTGTTTTAGTGTAGCATTGCTAGAAAGCTAGGTACTAAACACCTTTGGAGCCTTTGCTCTATGATTCTGTTATTTAGATTATGAATTTGCAGGAAAATCTGCAGTTATATAATAGTTCAGGCATTAACAGCTGTTTTATAAGATTGTATGATGTAAAGGTGACCAGTATAAACTGAAAGCAATGAAATAGTGATTTCAGAATATCAAAATTGTTTTTCACATTGGACTATTAATTTAGTAGAGAGTCACTTGTGTATAGTTCCAAATTCTGATAATATTTATGTACCGAATTGTATTGTGCATCAATTGTTAGGAGCCTTAGAAAGTATTAACTTATCTTCTACAATAATAACTGTTGCCTGTCTTTCGATTCTATTACCTGTCCTTAAGAATCTTACTGTCTGGCTGGGCGCGGTGGCTCACGCCTATAATCCCAGCACTTTGGGAGGCTGAGGCAGGTGGATCATGAGGTCAAGAGATCGAGACCAGCCTGGTCAACGAGGTGAAACCCCGTCTCTACTAAAAATACAAAAATTAGCTGGGCATGGTGGTGCGCGCCTGTAGTCCCAACTACTCGGGAGGCTGAGGCAGGAGAATTGCTTGAACCCAGGAGGCTGAGGTTGCAGTGAGCCGAGATCCTGCCATTGCACTCCAGTCTGGGTAACAACAGCGAAACTCTATCTCAAAAAAAAAAAAAAAGAATCTTACTGTCTAGGGCCTGGCGCGGCAGCTCACACTTGTAATCCCAGCACTTTGGGAGACTGAGTCAGGCGGATCACCCAAGGTGGGGAGTTCGAGGCCAGCCTGACCAACGTGGAGAAACCCCGTCTCTACTAAATATACAAAATTAGCGGGGCGTGGTGGTGCATGTCTGTAATCTCAGCTACTCAGGAGGTGAAGGCAGGAGAATTTCTTGATTCTCTGGGAGGTGGAGATTGTGGTGAGCTGAGATCGTGCCATTGCATTCCAGCCTAGGCAAGGAGAGCGAAACTTCATCTCAAAAAACAAACAAACAAACAAACAAACAAAAAACGGCTTACTAAAAGCTTCAAGTGAATTTTTGTCAGGTGCTTACAAAGTGCCTGGTGGTTAGTATTAAAAAGTAATGGTGAAAACTCCAATTACTTTTGCACCAACCTAATAGTATTAGTGGTCAACTGGAAACTGGATGGTGTACAATTAAATGATTGGCTGTGGGCAGGCCCCTGGGAGCTGGACTGTAAGTATACTCCTTGGGCATCTGAATATTTGATTTGCTAACAGTTTTGTGATAGGGAGAGTTGGAGGGAGGTGCAGTAGTCTAATTGAAACTAATATGTCAGAAATTGCTGCACAAAACCCTAAGGCTTTTTCCTACCAGTCAAGATCTGCGCTGCTGTCCATCCTGTCAAGAATTCTTCCTGCAGTGAGTAGGACCATGGTTGCTTGAGCTTCCTTTATTTCATCCTGTGCCGCTGCTTTGGGTTTCCAGTCCTGTGAGTTTACTTCTACAGTAGCTTTTATTTGTAGCAAATTTAACCTATTCTAAGGAGTATTGCTTAGTTCACAGTATTAAAGAATTTGATGAACAATTTTATTATATCTACCCTCCATTTGATAGACAACTTTACGTCTGCCTTGCATTTTTGCATACTTTTATTAGCATTAAAAATCTTATTTACTTAAGACTGAGTGCTGTGGCTCACACCTGTAATCCCAGCACTTTGGAAGGCCAAGGCAGGAGGATCACTTGAGCCCAGGATTAAAGACCAGTGTGGGCAACATAGGGAGACCCCATCACTACAAAAAACTTAAAAATTAGACAGGCTTGGTGTGGTGGACCTATGGTCCCAACTACTCAGGAGGTTGAGGTGAAAGGGTCGCTTGACCCTGGGAGGTTGAGGCTGCAGTGAGCTGTAGTCACGCCAACTGCATTCCAGCCTGACTGACAGAGAGAGACTCTCAAAAAAAATGTTTTAACTTCATCCTCAGAGTTTATTAATAATTATCATAGCTAACTTTATTCAGCACTTATGCTTTAATATATTGACGTAACCTTCCTAACTTTATGGGATATATATTAATCTTATTTATAAATGAGGAAATTCAGGTCAGAAGGTTTAAGCAATTTGCTCACAGTCACAGAGCTGGTTTATGGTAGAGCCAACATTTGAACCCAGGTAGTCTGGCATCAGCACAGATTTTCTGTTTTTCTGTGCTTCATTATGTTATCTTACAAATTTTATCTACCTTTAGAAAGCACTGGGCTTTGATTAGCACTGTTTCATTTCCAAGCCAGTCACCTACACCTCGTTTAATTGGAATTTTCAGTCTGTGATTCTCCCGCAAGTTTCATACTGTATCCAAGAGATTACCTTAAAATGCCTTCCTACAATCAAGATACACTGCCTAAAACATCATTAAAGGGTAATAACTGCCCCCCTTCAAAGGCTCTGGTGTTTAAAAAGGAAAAAAAGTTTGGCTTCCTGTGGCTCAGTAGGTCTCTATAGCAGTTCCCTGGCCAAGGGGTTTAGTGTCCTCCTGTCACTTTTCAAGGGAGAATGATGTATAATATATGGTATTTCCAAAGCTCGTTTGGCCATAGAACTGTTTTTCAAGGGACAGTTTAAGGGCGTAGTGTACTGTGAAATACTCTGTAGGAAAAGTTCTCTAATTTATGTCGTGGACAATTTTCTGTTAACATTTCATTTTATTTGCTTATTGTGTCATCTAACAATTTTAGAAAAGAGAGTAAGAACGGATTATTCCAGTTATCCTTTGCTAGTTTCTAATCATCACTCCTGTCTGCACAAACTATTCATTTGTTAATACATTGAGGGATTTTATTTGTTAGGCTTAATTAATGGTCTCTAATTTTTGTTATTTATTTACCATTTGGGTGATTTTTTTTTTTTTTTTTTTTTCTGGGACAGAGCCTGACTTCATTGCCCAGACTGGAATGCAGTGGCCTAATCTCAGCTTACTGCAACCTCTGCCTCAGCCTCCTGAGTAGCTGGAGCTACAGGTGCCTGCCACCATGCCTGACTAATTTTTGTATTTTTAATAGAGATGGAGCCTCACTATGTTGCCCATGCTGGTCTCGAACTCCTGGTCTCCAGTCATCCACCCACCTCTGCCTCCCAAAGTGCTGGGATTACAGGCATGAGCCACCGCGCCCAGCCTTGAGGGATAGTTTTAAATTATTTGTTGCACTCTGATTTTCTAACAGAGCTCCAGTTGTCCATACTTCATCTAGGATGTAGTCAGTGGTTCTGATTTAACATCTTCCAAATGCTTTTGTGTTGTGGAGGGTGATTCCTCTAGGCTTGAAAACTTAAACTCAGTTAAAGTGCCTTTTATTATATCCGTGTATGTCTTGGCCTGGAATTTTCTTTTAATCGCGTTCTGCTCTTTCCAGTTTAAAGATCAGCCTCTTTGAAAAAGGAGACTGACATTAAGGAAGAATTGAAGGATTATTTTTCTTTTGTTTATTTCTCTAAAGACAGTGGATCAAGTCCTTTCTTCTTCCTGCTTCCAACATAACAAAACATCTTTTGGCTAGTCTCTGCTCTTTTTTTTTTTGGCTTTAGCCTTCCTTTTTGTGATGCTGAACCACTTTCTCCTGGTCGTTTCTCTCTTCATCTTCGGTGTCCCTTTAAAATCTTTTTAAAGAGCTCACAGCTGGGCACGGTGGCTCACACCTGTAATCCCAACACTTTGGGAGGCCAAGGCAGGTGGATCACTTGAGGTAATTAGCTGGGTGTGGTGGTGCACGCTTGTAATTCCAGCTACTTGGGAGGCTGAGGCAGGAGAATCACTTGAACCCTGGAGGTAGGTGTTGCAGTGAGCTGAGATCGTGCTGCTGCACTCCAGCCTGGATGACAAAGCCAGACTCCATCTTGAAAAAAAAAAAGAACTCACTGTCATACAGCTAGGCGCACTGTCCGATACATGTTGCAAAGTTGGAGGAGGAAGAGATGAATGAAAGCTTGGATTACCTCAAAAGGCCTGAAAGAGAGAATTAGATCTGATAGGAGAGATGGGATTTACATAGGAGGAAGAACCAGGAAAGGGAGCCAGGGAAAGCTGAGATGGGAATGGCAACTAGAATAGTCTCATCAGAGTGAACATTATTCTGTAGAAACAGTAAACAGAGCAGCTAGAGTTGGCTCTCACCATTGTTTGTGAATGAAATTTCAGATAAAGGACCTAAAGCTGTCATTTGTATCGCAAAGAAATTGTAAAAATCTAAATATTAAATTGTATCAAAGATATAAATATTTTCATAAATTTGTGACACCTTTTTTGTTTTGTGACTAGCTCAGCTAAATGCTCTGTTGAATCCTAAGTACATTTATCTTGCATATATTAATTCTAAGAAGAATATGGGAATCAGGCTATGAATAATGATATTTATTCTGACTTTAAAAAAAAAATTGCCGTCTCCTTGAGTAAGCACTCATCTGATAGTTTTTATATCTCTTATTTTCAGGTTGGCTCAAAAACAGAAGTCGCTGAATGCAAGGAGAAGTTCGCCGCCTCCAAGGACCCCACGGTCAGTCAGACTTTCATGTTGGATAGGGTGTTCAACCCTGAGGGGAAGGCTTTACCACCAATGAGAGGCTTCAAGTACACCAGCTGGTCTCCCATGGGTTGTGATGCTAATGGCAGGTGCCTCTTGGCAGCACTGACCATGGACAATCGCCTGACCATCCAGGCGAATCTCAACAGACTGCAGTGGGTCCAGCTGGTTGACCTGACTGAGATCTACGGAGAACGTCTTTATGAGACCAGTTACAGGCTCTCTAAAAGTGAGGCCCCAGAAGGAAATCTTGGGGATTTTTCTGAGTTTCAGAGGAGACACAGCATGCAGACCCCAGTCAGAATGGAGTGGTCAGGCATCTGTACCACTCAGCAGGTCAAGCATAACAACGAATGCCGGGACGTTGGCAGTGTGCTCCTGGCCGTCCTCTTTGAAAATGGTAACATCGCCGTGTGGCAGTTTCAGCTGCCATTTGTAGGAAAAGAATCCATCTCTTCATGCAACACAATTGAGTCAGGAATCACCTCTCCCAGTGTATTGTTTTGGTGGGAATATGAGCACAACAATCGAAAAATGAGTGGCCTTATTGTGGGGAGTGCTTTTGGACCTGTAAAAATTCTTCCTGTCAATCTCAAAGCAGTCAAAGGCTATTTCACGTTAAGGCAGCCTGTTATCTTGTGGAAAGAAATGGACCAGTTGCCTGTGCACAGCATCAAATGTGTGCCACTTTATCACCCTTACCAGAAGTGTAGTTGTAGCTTAGTAGTAGCTGCAAGAGGCTCCTATGTATTTTGGTGTCTTCTTCTGATCTCCAAAGCAGGGCTGAATGTTCACAATTCCCACGTGACAGGTCTTCACTCACTCCCTATTGTCTCCATGACTGCAGACAAACAGAATGGAACGGTCTATACTTGCTCGAGTGACGGAAAAGTGAGACAGCTGATTCCCATTTTCACAGATGTTGCATTAAAGTTTGAACATCAGTTGATTAAACTCTCAGATGTGTTTGGCTCAGTGAGGACTCACGGGATAGCAGTGAGCCCCTGTGGTGCGTACCTGGCCATCATTACCACTGAGGGCATGGTCAACGGCCTCCACCCCGTTAACAAAAACTATCAGGTCCAGTTTGTTACTCTCAAAACCTTCGAAGAGGCAGCTGCTCAGCTCCTGGAATCATCTGTTCAAAACCTTTTTAAGCAGGTAGATTTAATAGACCTAGTACGCTGGAAGATTTTAAAAGATAAACATATCCCTCAATTTTTACAAGAAGCTTTGGAAAAAAAGATTGAAAGCAGTGGAGTCACCTACTTTTGGCGTTTTAAACTTTTCCTCCTGAGGATTTTATATCAGTCAATGCAGAAAACCCCTTCAGAAGCCTTGTGGAAACCCACCCAGGAGGACTCAAAAATCTTACTAGTGGATTCACCTGGAATGGGCAATCCTGAAGATGAACAGCAGGAAGAAGGCACTTCTTCCAAACAGGTGGTGAAGCAAGGCTTGCAGGAGAGGATCAAGGAAGGAGATGGAGAGGAGCCCCTGGATGACTCACTCGCCCAGACTGGAGATGCTGGAGGCCGTGAGCCAATGGAAGAGAAACTCCTGGAAATCCAAGGGAAAATTGAAGCCGTGGAGATGCACTTGACCAGGGAACACATGAAGCGAGTCTTAGGAGAGGTGTATCTGCACACCTGGATCACAGAAAACACTAGCATCCCCACCCGAGGACTCTGTAACTTTTTAATGTCTGATGAAGAGTATGATGACAGAACAGCACGGGTATGTATTTATTAACAAAAACTCTGAAATTGAGGAAAGTCTGCTTTCTTCATGAGAAAGAAATGACCTAAATTGAGTTCCTGAAGCTCACTTTTACTTTGAGATTTTTTAGGTAATTGATTTACATGAGGTGCAGGGGAACAAATAGGAAATGTGGATTAATGCAGAGGATGTATTCATAGCATACAAAGAATATTTTGATTCTTCTTCATACTGGCCTTGATAGATAGGCCAAATTTGCAGGATGAGCTTTCCAGACTGGATTAGCTCAAAATGGCTGCATTTAGCTTGAGTAGTAAATGATGGGCAATCATGGCAGTACTAATATAGTGCCCATGCTCCTGCCCTTCCTCTTTTACAAAAGTTTTGTAGGGAAGGGGTGTAATGACATGTTTTCCATTTGATAGGACTTAAGGATATCTTCAGATTTAGTCAAGAAAGGCATGTAAAGTAAACGTATTATCACTCATGTCTCATTTTTACAAAACCGGGGCACAATCTTTATTTTGGTAGCAGAACAATCTTAAACAGTGTTATCCAAAATGTATTCTAAAGAATTTACATTGCTTAACGAAACACTAGGGTTCCCAGTGCATATTATCATTCTAAGCGTTCTGAGAATTCCTACAGAAAAGAAACACACCTTTGTGTAGCTTAGTTACTCAGACTTGCTGAGCAGAGCATCTTTTTTGCACTAACAGCTGCTAAAATCCTGAAGAATTTGCGTTCCAAGAAATATACTATATTCTGAAATATTCAAAACCACAAATATCTGTGCTCCCTTTTGCTTCAAAGATTGATACTTATTGACTAAAGTCTTATTTAAAATATTAACCAAAGGCAGTATCTTTGTTTTTAATGTCAAGCCATTCAGAATCCTTGTTATATTTTCTTGTTGGAAAGAATATGTGTTTGTGTACACACATTCACTTTTGAAATGATTGCTCATAGAATGTTTGCAGTGATCTTGAGTATTAAGATGCACTGTTCATGTAATTGCATTTTCTTCTTTTAAAAGTTAACTTTTGGGGCCAGGCACATTAGCTCACGCTTGTAGTCCCAGCACTTTGGGAGGTTGAGGTGGGCGGATCACCTGAGGTCAGGAGTTTGAGACCAGCCTAGCCAACATAGTGAAACCCTGCCTCTACTAAAAATGCAAAAAATTAGCCAGGCGTGGTGGTGGGCACCTGTAATCACAGCTACTCAGGAGGCTGAGGCAGGAGAATCATTTGAACCTGGGAGGTGAAGGTTGCAGTGACCCGAGATTGCACATTGCATTCCAGCCTGGGTGACAAGAGCGAAACAGTCTCAAAAAAAGTTTTAAACATTGTTTCATTGTGTTCCATATTGTCTGGAATAGAGTATTCTGGTTATCACAGTGCTATGGGACCTAGTTAGGTTTATTATAAGAGTCAGTGAAAAATTAGCAAAAACATTTTAGAAAAAATTAGAGGTTGAGTTTGTAATGATTTAGAATAATTGTCCAGATACCGAGTAAGCCTGGGAAGCTCCATTTAGCATGGTCATGTGGTTTCAACAGAGCCAGTTTAAAAACCAGAAGATTGCACCCCTCCCCATCTGTAGCAACTGAGTTTTTATTGAAGATCATGCATTTCATGTCTTAAAAATCCAATTATATGCATAAAATGAAGACTTTTTAAACCTAGGATATTGATTTATTAGTAATTATAAATTATTTGGGAGATTGTCAGCTTAGTATGCTGGTATGGTTAAACCATGACTTTTTAATCTTTTTTCGTTATTACTCCCCGCCAGAGCATTTTTAGACACTTTTTCCAAATTGCCTCTGCCTATGAAGTTTTAATACAACAGATATGTATATATATATCTATATCTATATATATATCTGTTTATGTTATATCTGTGTTCTTTATACAGAAAAAGAGTATAAAAAAGAACTCTCTGCCTCCAAGAACTAATATTTGTTCCCTTGGAAGGACTGCCACTGCTCTTGAGAATGTGTGAGTCAGAATAACATAGTTGAGCTTACCAAGATCAAGGCTGCTGAGAACAAATGGCAGTCCTTCCTTATGTAAAATTTATGTACATCTGGGCTGGGCACAGTGGTCACACCTGTAACCCCAGCACTTTGGGAGGGCAGGGTGTGAGGATCACTTGAGCCTGGGAGTTTGAGGCCAGCCTAAGCAACATAGTGAGACCCTGTCTCTACAAAAAAAAAAATAAATAAATAAATACATACATACATACATACATACATACTGGTGTGGTGGCACAGGCCTTTAGTCCTAGTTACTTGGGAGGCTGAGTGGGGAACCATGTTCACACTGCTGCACTCTAGCTGGGGCAATACTGAGACCCGTCTTAAAAAAAAAATTGAGGTGTGTTTATATGGGAGGAATTCTGAGTAGTTTTTGTCACTGTATCATTATCAGGATGTTTGGCCTGTCTAGAAAAGCAAAGTGAGTGTGGCAATCCTACCCATGTGTTAGAATTCGTAGGACGGAAAAAGCAAAAAGGCAAAAAATTAATGGGATTTAAATTTGTAGAGTATATACAGAAGTGGTAAGATAGCAGCTGGCTCACCAACTTTTGAGCTAGTAAGATACCCTTTGAAACTTAATTAATTTTAATTAATCCAAAATCTTTTGGATTCATCCATAAGAGGTTAAGCAGAAATGGATTCAAAATTGGAAGGATGCTATCACTAGTAAAAGAAGACAATCCTTGAGGGTTGTGTATCCTAGCCTCCAAATTACATATCCAGTGAAGTTTAAAAAAAGTGGGGAATGGGGTGGCTAGGTGTGGGTAACACCTGTAATCCTAGCACTTTGAGGGGCTGACACGGGCGAATCACCTGAGGTCAGGAGTTCGAGACCAGCCTGGCCAACATGGCAAAACTCCACCTCTACTAAAATATAAAAATTAGCCAGGCATGGTGGCACATGCCTATAATCCCAGCTACTTGGGAGGTTGAGGCAGGAGAATCGCTTGAACCTGGGAGTCAGAGGTTGCAGTGAGCCGAGATCATGCCACTGCACTCCAGCCTGGGTGACAGAGAGAGACACTTTCCCCTGCCAAAAAAAGAATTAGATTCAAGTGTTTTTCAGGCTTTTATTTTTAAGCAGTATTATCTTTTTTTTTTTTTCTTGAGATGGAGCCTTACTCTGTTACCCAGGCTGATGTGCAGTGGCACAGTTTCAGCTCACTGCAACCTCCACTCCTGTGCTCAGGCGGATCCTCTTGCCTCAGCCTCCCAAGTAGCTGGGATTACAGGTGTGTGTCACTACACCTGGTTAATTTTTGTATTTTTAGTAGAGATGGGGTTTCACCGTGTTGGGCAGCTGCTCTCGAACTTCTTACCTCAAGTGATCTACCTGCCTTGGCCTCCCAAGGTGCAGAGATTACAGGCATGAGCCACTGTGTCCAGCCAAGGATATAATCTTTTTTTTTTTTTTAAGATGGAGTCTTGCTCCCATCACACAGGCTGGAGTGCAGTGGCATGATTTTGGCTCACTGCAACCTCCGTCTCCCAGGTTCATATGATTCTCCTTCCTCAGCCTCCCAAGTAGTTGGGATTACAGGCGTGCACCACCATGCCCGGCTAATTTTTGTATTTTTAGTAGAGTCAGGGTTTCTCCATGTTGGCCAGACTGGTCTCAAACTCCTGACCTCAGGTGATCCACCCACCTCAGCCTCCCAAAGTACTAGGATTATAGGCATGAGCCACCATGCCTGGCCAAGGGTGTAATGTTAACAAAGCAGAGAAAACAAAACTGAAGCGGAGACAAGGCCTGGAGCCTGTGCTGTCACCTCTCTCCAGCTTCTTGCTCCTGTCTAGCCATGCCTCTGCAGTGGGGTCGGCAGATCTCAGATTGAAGGCTATTGGACTGTGTTGGCCATGGGTCTTTGGGCCATCAGAAGGAAAAATTATTTTTTAATCCTGATGATCTTTTTACGTTCTAAGCCTTTCTTTTAAAATAGACATTTGTACAGTTCTACAAAGAGTAGTATTCCACATAATGTTTTGCCTGTAGAGATTACGCTTTTTCTTCTTAAAGTCAAAACATTATAAATAATAGCTAAATACTTTGTCTTCTAACAGAACTCTGAACTCCTTGTTTCAGAAGCAGCTAAAACAAGGCAAGTAAGATTTTGGTTTTCAGAACAGTTTTCTCCTTAGTGGTTACAGTTTACCCTGTTTTCACAGAGTCCCAGGATGAATTTATTTTATTCAGCTAGTTGACACAGGGTGAAACTCTAGTTCTGTTGTTTTTCACAGTATAATCAGCCTGCATGGAAATACAAATCTCCTGTCTTTTGTAAAATACTGTTCTTTTCTTTTTGTTTTTTAATTTTTCCCTTGTGTTTGTAGGCTTTTTCTTCAGGAAATCCTGCACTTAGCACTAAACTTTGCTGACCACTTTGTCTTACTAGGTGCTGATTGGACATATCTCAAAGAAGATGAACAAACAAACCTTCCCTGAGCACTGTAGTTTGTGTAAAGAAATCTTGCCATTCACAGATCGCAAACAGGCAGTCTGTTCCAATGGCCACATTTGGCTCCGGTAAGACATTTTAAAAGTCCTACCTCTGCTCGTTTTTCAGTCTTGTGTAGCACAAACTACTGTAAAGCATTTATGCCAGTTATCTGTTGCCCTTGCCAATGTGGTTGGTATTACACAACCACATTGCTGCTATTACAAAGCCTGATGTGGATTTTTAAATCAGTATCACTGAAGCAAGTTGGCCCTTGAAGACAGTTTTTACTGCTTAGTGTATAGGAGTTTGCTTCCTTTGTTTGTTCAGTTTCATAATGAAAGATGTCTGCTTCCTCTCCCTAGTCTCATTCCAAGATGTAACCTTGGTGTATCCTCATGTTACTGGACCTGTGGGCTGCATTTGACACAATTACTCCCTCCTTGCAGCACTTTCATTACCTGCCTTCCTGGACACAGTACTCCCTGGTTTTCTTCCTGTCCCTGACTCTTCATTCTCAATTGTCTTTGCTGATGGCTACCTCACCTGTCCATCTTTCTGCCCATTATTCTTCTCTTGGCACTTTCCTTGGGTGGTTACTTATCATCTGCACACTGGTGATTTAAACACAGAGCTTTTACCGGTATCTCTCCCACTAAGTCTGGGCTTATATATCTCACTGCTGCTCAGTACCTCTGTTTGGATGTTTAATAGGCATTTGAAATTGGAATCCAACCTTTCGTTACTACCTCTGCCTCTCTGTCCCTGGTCAAAACACCATCATCTCTTGCCCTGATTATTATATCTGTAGTTACTTTCCATCTGGTCTTCCCACTTCCATCCTTGCCCCTCCCGTCTCTTCTCATTATAGTCGTGATAGTGATCGTGTCAAAATGTTGTCACTGGCCACCTGTTTCTCATGAGTAAAACTAAATCCCTCTTAGTGACCCACAAGACTCTACACAGCCTGGCACCCCTTCTTCCCTTTGTCCTCCCACTGACCTCATCTGCTATATTTCTCCATCTCGTTCACTTCACTACAGGCAGACTGGCTTCATTTCTCAGGTACATGAGACACCCACTCACCTCAGGACATGTACACTGGCCGACTCCTCTACCTAGGATGCTCTTCCAGCAGATGTCCACATGGCTTCCTCCAACGTCCCTTTATCAGTTAGGCCTTCCTGGCCACCATACCTAAAATTGTAGCACCCCACTGACATACCTTCCATTCCCAGTATTTTACATCCTTCTTCCTTTATTTTCCTCCTCAACAATGATCACTATTTAATATATTTTTTTTCCTTGTCCTTTCTCTAGAATAGAAAGCTTTATGAGGACAGGAACTTTTGTCTTGTATTCACAGCTATTTCTAGAACAATGCCTAGTACATGGTAGGCACTAAATTTAAAATTTTTTTATTTGTATTTTTTTTGAGAGTGGGTCTTGCTGTGTCACCCAGGCTGGTGTGCAATGGCGCAATCTTGGCTCACTGCAACCTTTGCCTCCCAGGTTCAAGCGATTCTCCTACCTCAGCCTCCCTGGTAGCTGGAACTACAGGCATGCACCGCCACACCTGGCTAATTTTTTTTCTTTTTGTATTTTTGGTAGAGATGGGGTTTTACCATGTTGCCCAGGCTGGTTTTGAACTCCTGGTCTCAAGTAATCCACCTGCCTTGGCCTCCCAAAGTGCTGGAACTACAGGCATGAGCCACCATGCCCAGCCACATTTTTAACCAGATTGTGCTACACATACCATATTAGTACCTCCCCAGTTCTCTTATCAAAAATGTATGGACTTTCTTTTACATCAGTACAAAGATATCATTCTTAATGACTAGAGGTTTCCATTGTATGGATGTTACATAATTTACTCCCTTATTGATAATTTGGATTTTTTTCCAATTTGTATTGAATTCCTATACTTTTCTTGAGATGGGGAAATGAGGTATCACTATGTTGCCCATGGTAGACTCCTGGGCTCCAGTGATCCTCCTGCCTCAGCCTCCTGAGTAGCTAGGACTACAGGCATGTACCACCACGCCTCCTGGCTTCTACACTTTTTCTAATTTGACTGTTCAGACTTTTTAAGAGAGAAGAATAGAAAACAAGCTTGTGATATATTTTAGGTTAGTAATAAAAATAAAAATATTGAGCACTATTAATATACCAGGCACAGTCTAAGCTGTACACGTGTATTAAGTTACTGTATGATGGTGGTGGTGAAAATAACTTAGTAGGGTCCCTGGCATGTGCCATTGCACCTGGCTTTCTGTTAGTTAAGATTGGGTATAACCGCTGTCTTTAAGACTCTTGACAGTACTTTGGGGAAAACCCTGAGGAATATGCAAACATGGGGTCTAGGTTTGGCCAGCTTTGGGACACTACATCCTTATTCTTGAGTTTTGCTGTAAACCGGCAGGAGCTCTCTAATTCTCAGAAGTTTGTATGTTGACACCTTGTGTTGTGTTGTAGCTTTCTATTAGGGAAACTACAATCATACAGAAAAGGAAAGAGAAGAATATAATAAATCCCTGTGTGCCTGTCACTTAACTTCAAAAATTATCAACTCATGACCTTTGGTGCAAAAAAATTAATGATGCCGAAAAAGGACACTAACAAATGTTCCCAGGTTCAATTCCATCCAAAGATGATTCATCGAGCCTCTGCCAAGGCCAGGCAAATAAGGATACGTAGAATGTATTTTCAGAACAGCCGTGCATGGGGAGTGTCACATGACTTTTGTTTTTACAGATGAGGAAATTGGGGCCTGGGAAGTTAAATAATTTGCCCAAGTTACAGTGGTGGTTTGTGGCATAGCTCAGAATCTGACATTCTGGCTCCAGAAGCCACATGTGTAAGCACTAACATTAATGTCTTCCAGATAGGTTCTTTCAGGAAATTGTCTTCTTTTTTACTGACCAAAGTTAGTGCCGAAATACCTCAGTATGGTTTCTATAGGTGAGAAGCAGTGCTTGCTGTTGCTCAGATGTAATCTTTCTTCCTAGATACCCAAGTCTTACTCAAGGTAGACCTGCTTGGAGTCCCTTCCCCTCCTTTGTATTTTCTGCTCCTTAGTTGCTTACCTGAAAGGTTACCTTTTGGGAAAACTTCCCTGCAACCCAGATGTACTCTTTCCCATCGCATTGCATCCCATCTATCCTTACTTGCCGCTGGTAGATGCTCAAAGAATAATCCTTAGATGGAATTGAACCTGTGAACATTAATTTTGCCTTTGATATTCTTCAGGGTTTTCCTTAATGTACTGTCAGAGTCTTAAAGACAGTAGTTATACCCAGTCTTAACTAACAGAAAGCTGGGCACAGTGGCACATGCCTGTAATCCCAGCTGCTTGGGAGACTTAGGCAGGAGGATCACTTGAGCCCAGGAGTTCAAGGCCAGGCTGGGCAACATAGCGAGACCCTGTCTCAAAATAACAGCAATAACAAAAAACCTAAAAAGAATAATTTTCAATATAATACATGATCAGTTTTTAAAAAACATCAGGAATTCAAAGTGCAGTCAGGTATGAACAGACTAAATTATTTTCTGATGCTCAAATAGGAAAAACAGCTACAGTCTACCTGGATTAGAATCTTTGTGTCTACTTGTGAAGCATGAGGTATAGGTTTGGCCAGCTTTGGTGCACAGGGGGATACATTGTTGCCATGAATCTATGAGTATCATGCTTTCACTTGGTTAATGTGTGGTTTTATGACACCTCTCTGTGGTAGAGAAACACCAGTTTCCGAGTGTTAGAGCAAACTCTCTCCCATGCCAATACAATCTGTTTTCTTTCAGGTGCTTCTTAACCTACCAGTCCTGCCAGAGTTTGATATATAGAAGGTGTTTGCTCCATGACAGCATTGCCCGGCATCCAGCTCCAGAAGGTGAATGCTTTCCCTTACTTGGGAGGGTGCGTGGCTGGATGGAGCATGCTGGCAGAGGGCCAGCGCCCCAGAGTAACAGTTCAAGTCACACTTTACACTTCTTGGTGTTGTGCTGTCAGGGATGGGGGCTGGGGAGCAGGCTCCTGTTGCTCTTTACAGTGTTACTGTGAAACCACAGCTAACTAAAACATGGCCATTGGAATGTCATATTGAAGTGTATATTCCTTTAGTGTGTGACTTAAGTGAGTCTGCAGTTGCTATTCTGTCAATGCAAGCAAATTATTCATTCCAAAAAATGTCAGAGCTTGTTTTAGTAGATGACATAGATTATATTTGAATGTAAACTCTGTAAATGATACTGTATACACAGATAACACTGTTGAACCAGTAATAGGATATTCACTTGGAGCCATTCTAGTAGCCATGATGAGTTTTTGCCTAGTTGATGTATATTCTCTTTTCTGATAGCTCTGATGTCATCTGTTTCTGAGATAACTATCTGGAAATAAGACTGTAGGGTGGGCAAGGAATTAGTGATTTAATAATGATGTGAATGTCAAATTTTGTCCTGACGTTAATATCACACTCTAACCAAGTGACACAACTAGATACAGAATATACAATTGTATACATACTTTTGGGGGAATATTCTGGTTTCAGCTGAAACAAACAGCATTCTGTATAAAACTACATCCTTATTCTTGAGTTTGACTCTAAACTGACAGGAGCTCTCTAATTCTCAGAAGTTTGTATGTTGATACCTTGTGTTGTGTTGTAGCTTTCTATTAGGGAAACTAAAATCATACAGAAAAGGAAAGAGAAGAATATAATAAATCCCTGTGTGCCCGTCACTTAACTTAAAAAATTATCAACCCATGACCTTTTCTGTTTCATATGTAGTTCCCTCACCCACCTCCCTTCTCTTGATGGATTATTTTGAAACACATTCTTGGGAACTTTTAAATTCTTAACTGCAATTGATAATTGATATGCTGCCTAGGCAGGAAATCTGGAGAAGATTGAAACTTTCAAAGTAACGCCCATCAACTTTGAGTCTAGCCATGTATAGCTTTTAGGAACAATGAGAAGCTACTGAATCTAAGAAGAGCATTGGAGCAGAGCTTTTCACAGGTGAAAGAGGAGGAGGATTTGAGCAATGTTGCCACATTTTAATTTCTCAAGGGCATAGATAGCATTTTTTAAAAATTCCTATTACTGTTACTTTATGAGAGAATATTTTAACATTAACAGCATATGAAGAACACATTCTCGGAATATAGTCCTTTTTTTAAATTGAATAAATTCGGCTTTATGAAGTATTCATTACCCTTACTTTTCTGTTTCATCACACTTAACTTTGAGAACCACAAGTTTAGTCTACTTTCATTTGGAATGTTGAAAACCCAAGCCCAAAGCAGTGAAGTGCTTTGTCCAGGGATGCGTAGCTGGTTCATTGCAGAGTCTGGACCAGAATACCCATCTCTCAACACTACAGCCCAGCGTCATCCCTTCTGACTGCCTTTTCTGAAGCTCATGGTAGATACCACTTGTCTTCCTTTTGCAGATCCCGACTGGATTAAGAGGTTACTGCAAAGCCCCTGCCCTTTCTGTGACTCTCCTGTCTTCTAAATAATCAGTGACAGAAAGATGGAAGGACATAATGAATTCTGCCATAGAAAACTTCAGCCTGAAGAAAAGGATGTGCTGGAGGAAGCCTGACCCTCATGAGTGGAGAGAAGCCCTTGGTGACTGTGAAGAGGCCCCTGAAGCTGAAGCTCATTTCTGAAAGGCACTCTCATCTCCAGGGACTCAAGGATGTCCTTTGAAATGGCTGAACTCAGAGAGTTGGAGTCGTTTTGAGATGAGCATTAGCCCCGGCTTTGTGACCAATGAGGAACACTTACTTTTAAATATCTTGACGGACATAATTTGAACACAACGTCCCGTCATTTCTAGGAACAGAATGGTCTCTTCTAGAGAGTTTGGATAAGGACCTTGCTGGGTTGAGTTAGGTTTTAATCCTTGCTTTGGTCTGGAACTGCTGACTGGCTCCAGAACTTAATTGCTTGCTCCATGGCATCTGATGTACCAACAGAGATTAAAAGTATATAAAGCAATGCATGGGCAGGTGTTTTGTTCTCAGAAAATAGCTGCCGATATGCATCCCTCCATTCTTGTTTTTCATGATAAGAAAAACATTTTTTTGAAACACTATATTCTTAGTTGAAGCCAAGACTAAAGTTTACTGTGTCAAATGATCTGGTGACTATTATGATTAATAATTGTGACTTATTTTTCATTCTCTCCTGTGTCATCAGGTTTCCTGACCCAACTCCTTAACCTGCATAAAGATGTCAAATACTGGAGTTCACCCACGTCACAGCCCTGCTTCAGACTTAACTGTGGTAGCCTAGATGAGGTGTTTGTACACAGAGGAAAAACATACCTTCCTCTTTTAGTAATAATTACAACTTTTAGTATTTTCAATGTTGACATTTCCAGATGTTTCATTTAGTGTCCAGGGGTCTATCTAGAGACTTCTAGAGAGGGACAGCTCAGAAGTGAGACCCTTGAGCTCTGGTGCTGTGTAAGCTATACAATTCAGCTGAACAGAGCCTGGGAATTTCTTTCCTCTACACAGTTCCTTGATATTTGGAATCCAGGTTCTGCCCCCACCTCACCCCCACCCCCAGTGGTCTGTTAAGATGTCCCAGACATCAGTTTGATTGATCATGCAATCAAAACCTAAAAGGGGTTCTGTAATTAGCGTTCTTGGATTCTGAAACGTCCAGCGGGGGTTGGTGCTAATCAACAGGACTGTAGTGTACACATCTTGAAATGGTACGTTTTCCTGGAAAGTTGGGTAGGACATGTAAAATATGAGATTCTTTTTTCTTGTAATCCTTTTGGTCTTTAATGTAATTTCCTGCTTTTATTTTGTATCCTTAGTGAAAGACATTTTGTCCACACTTTAGAAATAACATTGAGGCCAGGCACCTGTAATCCCAGCACTTTGGGAAGCTGAGGCAGACAGGTCACTTGAGGCCGGGAGTTCAAGACCAGGCTGGGCAATGTGGCGAAAATACTAAAAATACAAGTTAGCCTGGCATGTTGGTGCATGCTTGTAATCCCAGCTACTCAGGAGCTGAGGCAGGAGAATCACTTGAACCCAGGAGGCAGAGCCGCAGTCAGCCGAGATGGTATCACTGCACTACAACCTGGGCGAGACTGGAGATTCTGCCTCAAAAAAAAAAAAAAAAAACGCCGACACGTGGATAACACTGTAACGGCAACCTCCCCTCCAACCCGGCATTGATTAGTGGAGACAAAGCCCTTGGAGGCACTTCCAAACAGTCTGCTCTGAAATGTCTTCTGTTTCTATTCAAATTGCTGTTTTGTCTCCTCTGTTTAATCATGTATTTGCTATTATCTTCTGCTTATTTTTCTCCTTTTGGTAGTAATTTCAAGAAGAGTGTTTATTCACTATGGATTTTCAAAAAAGAAACTAAGCAGCGTTGAAATCATGAGTAAAAATTCAGAACATTGTATGAAGTCATTTGTGTCTGCAGTTTTTTTCACTTTACAATAAATAAGAGTAAAAATTGAGATCATGTCAAAAAATTATTGCAGTTTTAATCATTATGGCATAGTTTCACTCCCGCCCCAATTAGAATCAGTAGGGAATTGTTCTTCCTGGGGAGTTTTGGGCTGCTGCCATTTAAAACAGGTTAAGTTTTTATTTAAAACAGTTGTGCGTTTTTGAGAAAATGTAACTAGTGGGAGTAACTAGAGAGGATTTCCCAAATTGTTTTTTTATGTTTCTAAGGGAGTAAACATGGCAACAGTTTTTCTAGAATGTGAACTCTCACTGCAGGGACTTGACCCAGTGGCATTGTTAAGACCATAAAATCTAGCCACACCTGCCTCTGCCAAGTTTCCACACACCCAGTTGGAAGGCCTTTCCCTGCCCTTGTGCCTGTCCCTCACCCGAGGAAGTTAAGCTACAGAGCTAGGGAAACATTTCAAGTTAATGGCACCCTTACAAATAGTGCTTCTGAATTTCTCTGAGGCTCAGCATACCTGATGGTAGTGTGTTGCTTCAGGGCAACCTTGGGGAAATGAGAATGGAACCAGAGGTTTTCTAATTGCATCTTGTAGTTAAAATTTATATCCTCTATAAAAGTTGCTTGATCTTTGTGGTAGATTTCAAGTTGATTTCAGCTGTGACCCTAGTAACCATTTCAGGAACTACAGAAAGTGAAAGTGCTATTGCTGCACTGCATTTAAAGTACAGGAGCAAGGATTCTATACAATTAGACCCTTTAAGCTACAACATTGTTGCATTTTGAAAGTCTGATATGTACATATGTATCACATTGTCTCTGCCTGGGGTTAATTTGTGCCTATTATTCTAGATAAGAAATTGATAGCTTGTTATGCTTGATATTCTTTCTGAAATCCTTGTGTGTCCACCAGGCAGACTTCAAGCAATCTCTACCTACTATTATATCTGCCAAAACTACCAATTATTTTTCAGTGTCAGAAGTTATTAGAACCACTGGCAAAGCTCATGGTTGAATGTGACATTTTTCTGCTTTTCCCTCTAAGTTTTCGAATGTGAACGTTGAAGTATGCAGGTTGGACCTATTAGCAAGTTTAACACGTTAATTAGGTTAAAAGAATGTTAAAGGGCAATAATTAAATAGTTCAGTTATTTTGTAATTATAATGGTATCAAATAAGATGCAAAAGATGTTGATTGGTGCTTGTTAAGACAATGACAAAACTGGTTTTGTGAGCATCAGTTCCCTGCAGCAGTTACACTGCCTGAGTTTGGTGAATTGCTGCAATTCCTGGAATGGAATCAGGAATTAGTGTCACTGATTGATTGGCACAGGATCTGTCCATCCTTTCTGCTCCTGACCGACCTCTCTTGCCTTGCCTTTCCCCAGATGCCCTCTTGGTTTCCCTTCCTTCAGTTCTCTCTGCTTCAGGACACAGAGCTAAGAGATTACATGTTGGAAAGAAGAAAAATGGATTAATGATGTTTCTAAAAGCTAAATTGTGTAGTGAGTCTCACTTCCTAGAAGAAGCTATTAGTATTTCTTTCTAAAGGTAATAGTATTAATTGTATCTGGGTTTCTTCAAAACTTAACGATAATTTCCTTGTTAGGGTGCTCAGTAGCTCTTAGTTTCACTTTGGGCTGAGGGATGTGAAAGTTTAGCTCCTTCCCACCACCTGTTTCCCCTCACTCCTACCCACAGCCAATATTCTTCATAAGCAAAAATTATGATTAAGCTAAGCTGAATGTGTTATATTCAAAGTAAGTACAGACAGCAAATAGGCAGACAAATACAGGAATGTCTACAATTAGCCCACCACAGTCTCTTTATACTCTTATGTGTATGATGTATCTTTATACTCTTTCACTGCTATTCTGTGTGTTGGAGTTTAGCATTTCAGTGAGACTAGGGAGAGTCTCAAGAATGGAACCTTTGCCCTCAAGGCTGGGGCATTCCAAATGCCTCTAAAGGATCTAACAATGAATTGTTTTTATTTTCGCCATTAACGCAAGTATCAACTGGCAGCCTCAAACAGCTTTAGACTATGTGTGAAGTCTCCGAGTTATGCTTAGAACTGCTCTTTCTAGAAGATAAAAGAAGTTTTTGGAGATCTGCTTCATGTCTGCTAACATGGTATTGCCATTCAACCTGATACACAGCATGTGAAATGCAACCGTCTTTAATGGGAATTAAGCCCAACTTCAAGAATACACAGACTTGCTTCTAGTTAAAGTAGTATAGAATCATCATTCTGATGAAGCAGTGGGGTTTCTCCGAAGGTTGTAAACTCATTTCCATGGCACAGATAGAAATCATTTTCAGGGCTTGTTAGCCAGTCCATGTCTCGTTGATAGGATGCACCTGCCATCTGCATAGATGGTTTCTTTTAAGATGGTGCCATTTTTGAAAACATGCTGTGGAAATAAATTTAACAGAGGAATAGTTATTTGTAAATCTGTCCTAGAAAGAGGTTAATTCTTTTGGTATATGAATATTTCCTCCAACCCCTTTAACTAATTAGGTGGTTCCGCTTATTGCATTTTCTGAGTTATAACTATACTCTAGGGCCAAGACCTAGAGTAAAACCTGGGTCCTAATCAGTGGGTTGTTTAGATCACTGTTATACGATTGATTTGTCAGCATTCTTTCTGGGCTTGAGAAGAGTTGACAAAGGTGAAAGATTATACTCTCATGTTGAAATGATGAAGGTATAGCCTAAGTGAAATACTGAAATGGGCTGGGTAGAATTAAACTTTAGAATTCTAAATCATGCTTATTTTTAAAGTAAAAAGTTGCCTCACTATCATGAAATCCTGTTACTTTAATAAAAAAATCCTGTAAAATGGTCAAATTGGACAATGTAAGAGATAATGATGGCTTTGAGGCATTTCATACTTTGGCTAACAGACTGGCAAGGCTTAGGGTTCTCTCCACTAATGGAAAATTAAATGCAAAATGTCCTAAGAATTACGTTGTTTTCAAGACTTTGACCCAGATTCGTACTTTGATGTATGAAAGTGAATATAAAACTTGTTTATACAGAAATAAGACTATGTAGAAAAATAAGTCTGTGTTGTGTATAGTGATACATGTTTTATGTTTACCCAATGTCTGTACTAAGTTTTGTGCTTGGTTTTGAATTATATGTGTGTTTACATATGACTTTTTTTTTTTTAATAAAAAGAACAGTCATCTAAAAACTTAAAGTTTTGGAAAGGAGATGCTTTTTCAGTTCTTACCATCTGATTAGGTGGTATGTTTTATAGACTTTTGGTGTTTAAAGAAAAAAAGTTTAATAACAACACATTTTGCTTGGAATACTCCCCAATCCAGAAAAACTGGTGACTTCTCTCCATTGTATATATGTGCATGGCGTTCATTATTAGATTGTAAGCTCCTCAAGGGCAGGAACTGTTTTGTCTTTGTGGTTCCTGCAGCACCTAATGTAAAGTGCCTTGCACAGGGTAGGTGCTCATGACGTGTAGAATGAGTGAGTAACGTCCTGCCTCATCAGGATGAAATGTGGTTCACTTCCACTGTGTTCAACGACAAAGCCAACACCACCAGAAGAGGGCAGAGCTCTTTCTCGGGTTTGAACTGGCTTCTTTTGGGGGTTGAACCAGACCATTCCACATCCTTAGCACGACTTAACCTTCTTTTCCTGAAGATTTCATCAGTGTCCTGCGTTTTTTATCTAATATTAGAGCTGAGGTTCCTAGGAAAAGTTTGAAGTGGGGAAGATTATGGAGAAAATAAAGTGGAAATTTGGGGAGGGTGGTTTGTCAGTATACGGCCCTGTGGGGTAATCATAGTTTAGTTCTTACTTGTTAAAAGCTTAACAGAACCTCTGTTTCTACCAAGTCGCTGGTTGGCCATTTCTCCAATGGATGAACTACCACTGGTTTTAGCTGTTTCTCATTTTGGATTCCCCTCAATTGCTTACATGATTCTAGTACTTAGAGTCTAATAAAGTTGCTGTGAATATCTAGTGCTGTACATAATGGCAGTTTTGTAAATGCGAAATAACCTTGAATATGTTGTGATTTGTATACAGAGCCATTAGTACTGTTATTTTGGACACTTTTTTATTCAAAATAAATAACACAATTATTTGTATACTGTGTGTCTGTTTTATGGAGTTCCCATGGTTTATAGCAAAGCTCGGAAACCTCTTTAAGCCTGAGCACCCCTAACAAAGTTCATTCATGCCCAGGCATGGGCAGACAAGGAGGAAAGAGCTCTGTTAGGGAAATGTTAGGGAACTGGCCACTAGCAGTTACCTCAGAACCAAGTCAGTAAGTCTTAGCTTGTTTATTCCAGAAAGTTTGAGGAATATAAGGGGAAGTAACAGAGGTTCAGCAGTATGTTAGGCCACATGGTCTTAACAATGTCAGTTACATAGTATTTGGTGAGGAAAGTGAAAACTATGATCTCTGAGCATCATGTATTTGTGAAAAGATGAGAATATACCAACTTTTTTTTTGCAAAGAGTCATCTGTGCTTATGGTAGAGGCAGTGTCTGTATCAATGGGTTTATCCATGTGCATCAGAATGACTTGGAGAATTTGTTAAAACAGTGGGTGGGGTGAACCCCACCCCTAGAATTTCTGATTCAGTAGATCCAGGATAGAGCCTGTGAACCACTATTTCTAATACATTCGTGGTTGGTGTTCATATGCTGATCTGGGATCTGTGTTTTGAATACTGTTGGTCCACAGATGAACTCCAACACTGTCCCTGCCTTGCTTCTATGGTGTCCACCAACAGTTCACATGGATTGTAGGTTTGTACAAATTGTTTATGTACCAGTCTTACCTGAGATTCTCACCATTACTACACTAGTTACTTTTAACTTTATTGAGACAAGAGTTAATTTTATGATTTCCTAAGGAGGACAAGAGGAGTACACTACTGTAGTGAATCCTTTCTCTTTTGTAAGTCTGGCTTATTTCACTCTCTCTCTAAAATTCATCTTCAGATGAAATGAAGCTAGTCCTTCATCCACTGGGGAACTTGAGCTTAATTCAGCCCATCACTTGAAGTTTACTGAGTAAGAAACTTCAAAAAAAGCTAAAGTATTTGTGCCACTGTATTTTGAGATAATTTAAATGAAATACTGATTGCAGGGATTTCAGCAGCGATAAAGGTACAATATAGATAAATATTCCTGCTGAGAACAATCAGAAAAACTAGAACAACAAAGTTTATATACATATGAAAGTGTTGGAGACTGAACCAGGCAGGAATTACAAGGCCAGTATCTGGGAGAAGGAGGAGTCTCAGACAGGCAAACCAGCATTTAAGGTTGGTTTCTTCTAGATGAGTCTGCCGATTCCAGAAGAGAGAGATGAGAGGCTAAAAAGATTATCAGAGCTTTTGACATTGTTGGACAACAATGACAAAAACTGGACAGTATTGGCCACCAAGGGCGGGGGGTACCCTGGTAATAAACCTCCACTTTCAGTATTGGGATTCTAAAAGAGCACACCTTAAAAGAAAAGCTGAACTGAAAACAGAGTGGTTTCCACAGAAACCGAAGCCCAGCTTCACTTCAATCACTTCAATCCTTGAAGTTAGGTTAAGGTGATCTAACTTGGTCAGTGCTTCTCATTGTCTTCTTTTGAAGAAAGAGGCTATCCCAGGCCTCAAATCACCATGTTTGGCATTCAGTCAAAAATAGCCAAGCCCAAACTAATAACTAGGCACATGAGGCTATAACACATGATTTTCTTAAAACAGAAAAAAATAGACTGAGAGGTGATCCCAATTGTTATCATACATGAACTTTAATCATGTTTAATATTATCAGGGAAATGAAAGACAAGTTTGAGAATTTTTACATTTGTACAGGGCTACAAAAAGCAGCAGCAGCAGCAGCAACACAGGCCACATGTGGCCCACAGAACCTACAGTATTTACTCTCTGGGCTTTTACAGAAAAGCCAGAAGAAAATATCCAGAATGATTTAGGGAGAGAAAAAATGCCCAAATGCAGGAGAATGCATCAGAGATATGATGGGAGGATATAAGGAAAATAATGTAATAGGAGTCCCAGGAGGAGAGGAGAAAGAAAATGGGGCAAAAGAAATATTTGAAGAAATAATGGTTTGGAATTTTTCCAAAACGTAACTAAAAAATTCATGAAGCCCTATAAACACCAAACAGGATAAAGAGAATGAAAAGCACATCTAATCTATCATAGCAAAACTGCTAAAAATCAAAAACAGAGAAAAAACGTTAGCCAAGGAAGAACAAGTCACCTTAAAAGGAGCAGCAGTAAGATTTACTTCTCAATGGAAACCATGAACAGGAGAAGACAATGGAAAGGTGCCTTCAGCATGCTGAAAGAAAAGAGCAACCTAGAATTCTGAACTCAGCAAAAATATCCTAATGAAAGTGAAGACATTTTAACACAACAATGAAAAATAATGTATTACAAACAAATCAGCACTAAAACAAATTCTAGGCCAGATGCGGAGGCTCATGCCTGTAATCCCAGCACTTTGGAAGGCTGAGGCGGGTGGATCATTTGAGGTCAGGCATTTGAGACCAGCCTGGCCAATATGGTGAAACCCATCTCTACTAAAAATACAAAACTTATCTGGGTGTGGTGGCAGGCACCTCCAATCCCAGCTATTTGGGAGGCTGAGGCAGGAGAATCACTTGAGCCTGTGCTACTGCACTCCAGCCTGGGCAACAGAGTGAGAAGTGAGACCCTGTCTCAAAAAAAAAAAAAAAATTCTAAAGGGTATTGTTAGGTGGAAGGAAACCCAGAGAAGCAGCACATAAGAGCATGAAAAAGGGAACATAGATGGGCAAAAACAGTGACCGTATAAAGCAAATAGGATGTTGTAAAAGTGGTTAGAATCGAAATGGCATCCCTAACGTTAAACAAAAACCCAACAGTGCTCTGACAAATAGAGCCAGAGAAGGGTCATGAAGACAGGATTCTCATGCTTGTATGCCTGCTAACAAAAAATATCCCAAAATACTCTGCAGAAACCTCAGCCTTGCACAAAGGCCATCGCAACATTATAAAAAGAATACTTATTCAAATACATCTGCCAAGCAACTGCCTATTCAGCCTCAGACTCGCGTCACCCTTATTACCGACCTTTGCAGCCAAGGAAACTGATTTCAAAACAACTGTGTACTCCTCATTTTTTCCTTAAAAATCTTTGTCTTCCTTTACCTCCCTGGAAACATACACAGTTTACTCCAGTACACGTATCCCCACTGCAACGCTCTATTCCCAGATATTTTTCTTTCAGGGAGCCTGTCTCGTATTTATGTTGACACATATATAGTGTCAGAAGGGAGACCCAGAAAAAGATCACTATCAGATCCCCAATTCCTGGAACCAGAGTGTGGCACTCATACAAGCCTCTTGCTCTCTCTGCTTCTGCAGCTCACCTTTTCTGTCCTGCCGAGTCTTACCTCAGGCTGAGCCTCCCACTTTTTGGTAGAGGCTTTTAAAATATTCTTTGGGATCTTGTTTAGATAAGGTCACCGTACACCCCCTCCTCAGGTGATAAAATACTTTTTGCCTTGGTTGGCAAATCCTCTTTGGTATAAAGACAAGTGTCTCTCTGAACACCGAGTTTCGAGTATTCAACTCTATATTCTGCAGAATTTACGTTCTGCCTGTGAGGTACGTCTTTTCTGGCAAACGTGTTTTTAGTGCGGACTGTGTGCCTATTTTAATGTTTTGTCTGACCTGCCTGCCTACGCTACAACTTTTGTGAGCACTCTTGTCTTGATCTCTTCTGATTTGGTTTGACTCTTTTCCCGTTTGTTTCCGAAAAACCTTCTGAGACCCAAAATAAATTTCTAAATGGTGGGCATGGGATGGCTAATTAAAAACCACTAGTGAATCACCACCATCTGAACTTGATCTCTTCTGATTTGGTTTGACTCTTTTCCCGTTTGTTTCCGAAAAACCTTCTGAGACCCAAAATAAATTTCTAAATGGTGGGCATGGGATGGCTAATTAAAAACCACTAGTGAATCACCACCATCTGAAACACCGGTGAAAACACTTGCCATTTCCTGACAGGATTTATAGGATTTTCTTTGCTCTTGCAAAATTGATAAGAATGGCATTCTCAAGCATTAAGGCATGCCAGGTTTTCTGGGACTCCGGCCAGATACATATTATGACCCATTCTTGTGCACATTTTAAAACCGATAGGCAAAATTATATCAAGGAAAATTCGGAGCTCAAATGGTCATTATTCAAAATCCTGAACTATAGAGGTAACATGTAGAGTCTTCTAAGTTCTCTCTCTCTTTTTTTTTTCCTGCCTACTTCGAATCTGCTAACTCTTCTACTGGTACAGAGATAAAACTCACTGCTTACGGCATTCCAAACAAGATTTCTTTCTTTAATAAAAAGGAAGTAGTAGTCTTTCTTTCTTTTTTTTGAGACGGAGTTTCGCTCTTGTTACCCAGGCTGGAGTGCAATGGCGCAATCTTGGCTCATGGCAACCTCCGCCTCCTGGGTTCAGGCAATTCTCCTGCCTCAGCCTCCTGAGTAGCTGGGATTACAGGCATGTGCCACCACACCCAGCTAATTTTTTGTATTTTTAGTAGAGACGGGGTTTCACCATGTTGACCAGGATGGTCTTGATCTCTTGACCTCATGATCCGCCCGTCTCGGCCTCCCAAAATGCTGGGACTACAGGCTTGAGCCACCGCACCCGGCCCAGAAGTAGTAGTCTTAGAAGGCTTTGAAATTAATGGCTTTACAAATTACACCAGTAATTTGTATTGGTATACAAATTGTAACCTAGACACCTTTTAGAAATATACCTTGGCCAGACGCAGTGGCTCATGCCTGTAATCCCAGCACTTTGGGAGGTCGAGGCAGGTGGACCACAAGGTCAGGAGATTGAGTCCGTCCTGGCCAACAGGGTGAAATCCTGTCTCTACTAAAAATACAAAAATTAGTTGGGCATGGTGGCACATGCCTGTAATCCCAGCTACTTGGAAAGCTGAGTCAGGAGAATTGCTTGAACCCAGGAAGGGGAGGTTGCAGTGAGCCGAGATCATGGTAAGACTCCATCTCAAAAAAAAAAAAAAATCTATCTATCTGTCTGTCTATCTATCTATCTGTCC